AGAGACAAATTTACATGTGCGTCTCCGTTAATGACAGCCTTTGGCTGCATTCCTGTTTGGCACAGCGCCATCCCTGGGCCGGTCTCCAGTGGGTCAGCCTCCACATGTGTCAGAGACGCTTTACGATTGTGTCGGAGAACAGCTCTGTTCAGCTCGCTCGCTGCACATGTCGGCCATAGCTCACGGTGATTAATGTCCAGTCTGCGTGCTTATAACGAGAGCCGGACCGGTTGCCTAAGAGAAGAAACTCGTGGGACACTTCAATAAAAAAATGAATAGTGCAGTGGAATATTGTCGGTAGCGGCAGAGCGATCCAGGATTGTGGAGTGGAGTTTGCTGCAGGAAGAGGATTGATCTCAGGACTACAGAAGTGCGCATTAAGACTTCAAAAGCATGTGATTGATAACTGACACTGCATCAGTTGGAAGGTGTGTGTTCTACACAAACATGACTTATTGCTTGGGTCGGCGTAACCTGTTCATAACCCGTTGGACCGCTTGTCTTGTCCCCGTTCAGAGCAAAGCTCAGTTGTTTCTGTCGCAATGAGTTCCACCAGTTTGGGTTTTTTATTTCAGCTCAAGCATCTCTGATGTGTGACACCACGTAAGAATGTCATCCCTTTCCGTTTTCGGATACACTTCTGTCTCTGCCAATTTTGACAGGAAGTAGCCTTCCTTTTAAACACCTCACTGTAACGTGGGTGTAGTGTGTGTGTGTTCCTGCCTGTAAAGTTGCCATTGATTCATCTGGGTGAGATGTTCTTGTGTTGCTTGGAGCGTGTTGACTTTTACGTGTCTGTTGTTCTCGGGTGATTTTATCGTGAAACGGTGTTCAGCTGAGAGATGGTTGTCGTTACGCAATCTGGAGTCACCAGGAGTTATTCTGTTGTGATAAACCTCTGCTCTGGATCACCGTGCTCGTGTAAATCTTTAGTGTTCAGTCCACACATCGAATCGCTTCGCTCTTTTGTTAAAAAGATAAATAAAATCTCACGTTTTTTAAAATGCAAATGTAATAATCGGGACACCTAACAGAGGATATGTTTAAGAAGCTACGAATGAATGACTTCTTATAACTAGAGTCATTGGCTGGCTTGGCTCCAACGGTTGCTCCAAGCCACACAATGCAGGAGTTTCTCTGTGATAAAGTTAAAGCGTCTAACTGACTTGCTGAAATAAACCCTCAGTAGAAAACACTCTGGAGTGTCTGTCACTTTATATTTCTATGTTAAAATCATGCAAACTTTGACAAAATGTTCCTATAACTTATAAAAGTGTGCTTATGTCACTTCTTTTGTCATTTTTTATTCTGTAGCTTATTGACCTTGTTTCATTTTATGCCTCAAACAGACAGAGGCTGGTTACTGGAGTGTTAAACGTCAAGCACGGGCTCTCACCGCACTTTGTGTTCCCTTGTCCTGATGTGACCCCAGCTTCTTGGCCACGTAGTCGCCTTTGAAAGGAGAGACTATTTTACCCTTTCGTAGTGCTTTTTCGTGTCTTTGTTTGAAGGCTTTACATCTTCCTGGTTGCTTTTTAAACCTAAACAGCTTTTCCTCAGTGACCCAAAAAGCCTCTAAAGGTGCGTGATGGAGAGGCAGGGGTTATAGAAGATTTATTTCTAGATGACACTCTGTAGAAAAACGGAGCGCCACACGTGTGTCACTAACGAAACACGAGCCTTGAGATGTGATGCTCTGCAGCACTTCCTTATCAAAGATCATGTGCCTTAAAACTCAATGAGCAATCACACAAGCACATGCTGTAGTTGTCATGTGATGCTGGCTTCTGCTTCTGAGATGGAGGGTTGTTCATGTTTGTTGCACCTTTGGAGATTTATTTCTACCACTTAAAGAGAAAAATATTAAGGAATTGTTGAATTGTGACATATAAGTGAAATGAAAGGGCAGGACGAGACTTGTAGGGGTTAATATCCCAGCGCTGATGGTGTTTTGCTGTGATCCAGATCCAGCGTGCACAGCGTCCGCTCCACAGCTTTCCTCCTGTCCCTGTGCACAGAGCTGGAGTAAAAAGCCCACATAGGGGATCCTTTGTTTAGGAGAGTCTAGGCATGGAAGATAATTTACAAGCGTCTAAGGTCCTCATGCTATTGGCTGATGATGCTCTGTCTGCATCTGCGAAAGGCATCCCGGTCGTCTGTGCGTGCGTGCGTGCGCTCGCGTGCGTGTGTGTGTGTGTGTGTGTGTGTGTGTGTGTGTGTGTGTGTGTGTGTGTGTGTGTCCGCCTCTGCTGCTGTAGCAACACTTTGTTAGTGCAGCTCGCAGACACCTTAGACATGGCACCCGGGGACTTGCCCTGCCAACGGTTTCTGTAGTCCAGCGTTTTCTTGAGTCTGGAGGAAGGCAAAGCAAAATGGCCACCAGGGCCGTTCAAGGATATCCTGACCAAAGTGGAGGGGTTTCCTCTCAGGACAGATGAAGAAAAGCCAGCAAGGAGCGCTCACCCTGCAGCGTTTTGACTCCTTACAGATGGACCGGTGATAGAAGTTATTCTTGATTTTGTTACCTTGGATTTAGTTGATTAGGGTGCTTTATTTTGGAGGCTGGTGATGGCAACACTAAATCACACAGGACTTCTGTGTGAGTGGGGTTTTTCAAGAAGCATTTAAAGGATCTGACAGCAAACACAGCACCAACAAGGTTTATTTCTTCTGTTAAATACACTTAAATGTACTTGTTTTTGGTCCTCCTCTGCATTGTTCTGAACAAACAGCCTTTCTGCTGTTTCCTCTCTTCTTTGCAGATTAAGTTGCACATTTAGCTCCTGTAGTATTCTGTATTACTGTGTAGATCAATCTCTGTTTCTCTCACCTGCAACATTCTTACTTAAAATTAGCCGTTTCTCTGTCCTCTGAAGGGTTTATTACTTTTTGACGTTCAGCTTTGTCCCTTTTTTCACATCGTTTAAAGTTTTGTTTTGGCGTGTTCGACTTTGTGACGCTGAGCTGAGTGCAGACAGGAAACGCTGATTGAATGAATGAAGGAAATTCTCACGTGTTAAAAATACAGATGAAAGAACACTTGCAGGAAGGAAGCATGCCTTTTCTCAGGACAGCTCACAACACGCTTCATGTACACAACATGAATAGAAAAACCAGTTTATCTCTATTGTGGTACTGTAGTAAGTCTGTTTACGTGTACTGTATGAGTGAGTTGTTGAGTCTGTCCTGAAACCGGGTTGGGGACACATGACTATCTTGAGACCGGAAACAAAAAGTGGAGTTACTAAACATTTTTTTGTGTTTGAACCAATCACCTTCAGTTACTCCTCAGTCATCATTTTGTTGTTTCCTAAAGTATTGCAGGTTGCATTATTTTGACCGACTTGCTCAAAAACGAACAAGAAAGAAAAGCAGACGGGTGTGTTTGGGGTGTAACTTGTGACATCCCGAGGCACACACTCTTAATCGCAGCCCCAGGTCCCTCCGGAGACCCAGTGGGTAAAACATTTACATCTCATCTCTGGTTTTCTCTTATCTAAAGTTTAACGTAGCACTGTAAAAACCAGCAGCCGACTTCGATGCCAGCTTGAGGAGGATGCAAAAGTCGAATGTGTAGACTCTCGGAGACACTGACACGTGTGAGTCTGCTGCAGTCTTGGAAAGCAGCCAGTTCTGTTTCGTCTTCAAAAGCAGCGCTGTGACACGCTACTGTTTCCTGCTTTTTGCCTCTGCTTCTTCTCCCTGGGTGTTGTTTAAATAGTAATGTTGTGTTGAAACACCATCCTGACACTCCTGTGGGCAGGTAAAGAGTCTAATGAGTCACGGGGGGAATCAGGAATCAGCCCCACCTGGAATTAATCATGCAAAACCTTGTTTAGCCCAAAGTCAAACAAACTGTACACTAATCCCTTTTACTAATAAAGAAATGTAAGAAAGACCGTCCCCCGTGTCGTAACAGATACCCGCCTTTAAACACCTGCAGACGAAGGTTTCTCCATCCTAATCCTCTGAAATCTCAGTGCCGCCTTGGTTCTCTGGCTTTAATTGAGGGCTTTTATCTCTGAGCGTCTGCCTCATCTTTAGCATCGCTGCACATTCCTGCTCCAGGACGGCCGCTCATGCTTTTGCCCCAAAGTCATCGCATGTGGGACGTCGCGTGGCTCGGCCCCTTGTGCACCACATGCTTCCATCAAACATACTGTTTTTATTTTAAACAGGATGTCTGGGGCTCTTTGAATCGAACCTTTCGCCGGGCTCATTCTTTAAGCACAAAGCTGATCCAGTTTGATTTATTTAAGCTAAATGTATCACTGTGTTTTGGAAGCAACACATCTCTTTCTGGGGAAATAACACGATAAAACTCTAATGAGAAACACGAGGTTTGTTTTTATTCTACTAGTTTGCAAGAATCTGGTTCATACTGGACTGCCGCTGGTTTCTCTTGATCTGTAGATTTGCAAACTCTTTCAAAGCAAGGTTGACTTTTTTTTGTTGGATAAACGGTCATAAAGGACATACCCAAAGCCCCCCACCCCCAATGAAGTGAACAGAGGATGGATGAATAAACCCCAACCCTTTCTGTTGCAGGGTTAGCTGTGTGTGTTTACCTGGACTTTCTGGACGAATCAATTCTCTGATACTTTCAACCTTTGGATGATTGTTCCTCAGTCTGAATCAATGATGCTCTACAATACATGATGTGTGCGTAAAATAGTACAGCGTGCTCATGCATGCTGCATGCATCCCTTGTGAGCCTTTAGTTATGAGTATTTACTCAGTGGCTCTTGATTACTCGTAGGTCAGTTTCTCAGGAGGGAAGCCCAGCCGCTCACGTCAGCTGTTGAGCTTTTATTAGCTCTGTTCAGAGTGTTGTTTTCCCAACGCGATCAGGAACCTGATTCATTATTTTCCATCATATTTTCTGCAGCCTTGCTAGTGGCAGCAGCAGATTCTCGCCTCTGTTGTGTCGCGTGACTCTCTAGAGCCGAATCGTTGGATGCTGCCAAGCTCGTTGACTCACCTTGTTGTCTATGTTTCAGGTGGCTCCAGAAAGCGGGTTGGTAAATGGCAAAGGCAAAGGCAAAGCACAGATGGATGGCACCGACATGGCAGCGGAGGAGGATGAAGGGGAGGAAGACCACATACCTCATTTACAATCTCACCCCAACGCTCGGTTACTAAGCCACAGCCTGGTCTCAGACCACAGCAGACAGTCGGCACTTATGAAAAGAGGGTCTGGGGTGGATTTCAACAGCATTGCGCTTCACCAACATGTATGCTCTTCTGTGATGTTTCACAATGGTTCTGAAGAGAACCACGCAAAACCTAACGGTGCTAACACGACCAGTGGGTCACACTCGGTCCTGAAATCTAACTGTAAACGGACTACAATGGCAACGGAGCTGCAGAGGACAATAATCACTGCGATTCCTAAAGACGGCCCCGCGGGCGAACTCAAGACACTTCCGGACGACGTGCCGCTTCCACTAAAGAAGATAAAACTGGAGGAGCCATGGTTGTTGATCACTGAGCAGACCTCTGCACCACTGAGTACTGGAGATGGTGTGGCCGATGATCCACTATCCATGCTGGCAGCTGTGGTCTGTCTGTCCGTCACAGAGAGAAAGGGACTGGAGGAGAAACTCTTTGGATCACGCTCTTCTATTCTTCGCTCCATTAAAACCGAGCCGGCAGATTTGCACTTTGTGAAAACAGAAAAAAGTGATTTCAAGAATAATTTATGTCAGAAAAGCACTCCTGTTGCCTTGCAAAGGATCCCCCTGCCTGTCAAAAGTGAACCTCCTTCAAATGACTTGTTACCAAGCGTGCAGTCTTTGGCAGAGAGGAGGAATCTCAGTTTTGATCAGGCTGTTGCGATCGAGGCCTTGACTCAGCTGGCAGCTATACCTCAAAGCACTGCAGGTTCCATCAAAGCTGAATATCCACTTTCTTCTGCTTCCCATTTCCCAACTTCCAGTACTGTTCTTCACGAAGCCAAACCTACAGCAGCTATTCACTACAACAAAGTGTCGGTCATCAGCTCACCACTACACCAGACGTCAGTGATATGCCCTCCTGTGGCCCAGCAAGGAAACGTCATCCAGTGCTCCCGGAGGCTGAGCTCCGACTCAAATCCGTCTGTTCCAGGAGACTTAGAAAGGGACAAAATGCCTCGCAGGTGGACAGAGCAGGGCTACGGTATTCACGTCATCAAGTCACAATGCAGCTTTAAAGAGTCCAGTCACATAAGGTTCAGTAAGGATCCGCAGCAGCGGATTGAGGAGGACAGGGACAGGTTTGCCAGTAAGGTGAGGAGGAACCGAGAGGAGGAGGAGGTGGCAGCTCAGCTGGCGGACCTGGCCTTCATCATCCAGTCACGACACAACCAGCCGTCGGAGAACAACCCTCCAAAGGGAATGCCTGTCTCAGCTATTAAATACAACTACAAATCCCAGCAGCCCCCCAGTCAGAAAAAGACCTCCATTAAAAAAATAAAAGCAACTCCTCCAAAGCCTCAGAAGAAGAAAAGCGATGGGTTACAAGAGGGAATCAAGCGCAGGACCCCGCTCTCTAAACGCACGTCGAATGGAGAGACACCCTACAGGGGCAGAGGCCAGAAGAACCTGCTGCGTGGGAAAACAGGACATCACCACAAGAAGAACCTTTTCCTGCCTCAGGCGCAGATTGACCTGAAGAAGTATTTGGCCGAGACTCAAGAAGGAAGGAGACAACTCATCCAACACAGTAGCACCCACAATGCAAGTCTCTTAGGGCAGCAGGCTCAAAATTACAGCACTCTCGCACGAACGAGCCACACTTACAGTCAAGAAAGCCAGCTTTGCAATGGGACACCTCACCAACACAACCTATGTAATGGTTTTGATGCAGGACCAGAAGAGGTCCCCTTATTATCTCAGGTAGCGCAGCCTTGTGGTGGGCTGCAGCACGGTGCTGATCCCAATGCCAGCCCAGCAAGAACTGCTTTCCTCAACCACGCTGGTGGGCACCATGGGCTGGCCAACAGCTTTTCTGTGGCACCCCAGTCCCCCCCTCCAAGTCAACAGGGCTACTACAAGTTGGAGAGGTCAGGACCTGTCACTGTCTTGTCCACGGAGACTGGTGGGGTTCTGGGGAACTCCACAGAGTCCACTCCAACCAGAAACAGCATCAACAACTTTCTGGATTCCCCCATGAGCTTCCTTGACACCCCAGTGAAGAATTTGCTCAATACACCTTCCAAAAAACTGGCCGATCTTCCACCCTGTCAGTGTGTGGGTGAGTTGTTCTGACTTTTTAAACTCGTTTCTCACTTCCCCTTACTTACACACACACACACACACACACACACACACACACACATACACACACACACACACACACACACACACATACACATACACACACACACACGCATGCACGCATGCACACACCCATTATCAGTGTCCTCATTAAAGGACCAGTTTAATCAAATAAGGCTGCATTTCTCTGTTTTATTAAATGTTTTGGCAGACTTGAACCCTTGTTTTTGTTTGCCTGATTGTGCAGACCAAATCGTTGAAAAGGAGGAGGGTCCTTACTATACTCATCTCGGCGCGGGCCCCAGTGTTTCTGCAGTCAGGGAGCTGATGGAGAACAGGTAAAGTAGCATTAATGTGCTTGATTTATAGTGTGTAGTTTTAGTTAAATGCATGCTAAAATATCACAGCCATACATGGGATAAGCAGTGGTCAGATGACCTAACCTGCGTCTCAGTTTCCACGTGAGCAGAAAACACACGGAGCCTCTGAAACGGGAGACCCTTAGAGCTGAGATCAGACTCCACTGACCCAGATGACAGCTTGTGTCAAACAGCTCGCCCTCCATCACAGCATATTGTTGCAGTTTTCAACTGTAGATTCTTTTTAATTAAATGTATTAAATAAATGTAGAAACGATCTTTTAAGATTGAGTAGCTACTGGAAAGTGTGGACTAACGTCTGTGTGAGGACACAGACCAGTTAGCATAGAGTGGACACAACCTCTTCCAAAACTGTCAAGAACATCCTCATCACATTAAAGACCAGGGGCCTCATAAAAAAACTTTGCATAGAATACTTACTACAACTCTACTTCAGCTCAGAAAATTGTTTTAACGTACGCTAACTACTTTTCCGACCTATGAAAGACGCCATTTCTGCTTTATGAATCACACCTGTCCTACAAATGTGCTCCGGTGTTTCTGGACCACATCCTGCTTCCTACACACCCACTTCTGCCACAAATGGTCAACTCAAAGCACTTTATGAATACTCTGCACATAAATAAGCCAAGCTGATATGTTGCATTTCACAAGTAACCATGGCAACTGAGACTGAAATTGAGGTGCTTGTGCGTGATGACATAGAAACACGTAAAAGGGTTTTCTTACCTTCGAGCGGCATCGCGCTGTTGCAGCAGTGAGGTGTGGAGCCGCGGAGCAATCACAGCAAATGTAAAAAATAAACTTTAAAAGAAGTGGTCAGTCCGTCAGGCAAAGAGGAAGATGGTAACAGTCCAAAACAGCTTTATTATGGCGCTCAGAGATTGCGGAGATATTCCAGATTGAAGTTTTACGTTGAATGAAAACTTTTAATTTAACCCAAAGGGGCTTTAGGCAGGAAATGCCACACTGCTCATCAAACCATACAAATACCAGCCCGCTTGTTGGCTGATTCCTCCTGGAACAAGCCAGTTTAAGGAAACCTGACAGGTGGACCTTTGCCCGGTTCGCTGCAGTGCTGAGTTTTAGTTTTTAGTTTTATTAAAGGGACAATGTGTCGTTTTTACCATTAATCTCTGGAAATACCATCGAAATGTTGTAGTAAATTACTTTAAAATGCCCAGTTGTTGAAAAATATTGGCGGTTTCATAACATATAACCATGAAAATCTGTTCTAAAATACATGGGAGCGGGTCTAAGTCTCTGGGCGACGCCATATTGGAAGCCATGTTTCCTTCTACGGAAGTCTGTGAGGACAAAATGCATTTACTGATTTGTAACAAATGGTTACAAAATTTCACCGTTAATAAACATTGTTGCTTTACACATTTACCTCTTCACTCATTGCCAGTGATGAAAGGGAAGCTGATGTTATTGTTATTTTGCTGGAGGTTGCACTCCCAGGGATTTTTTACCCTATTGGACATTCGTTGGTACGGTCTTATTTGAACACAAGTCATTGAACACAAATCATCCATTAAAGTTCTCATCCAGAGAAATCTAATATATCCTACAATTAAATGGAGATGATCATGGTTTTCCTACTTATGTGCTGCAGCTAGGTCACAGATGTTTTAATGGCTTCGTGTGTGTCTTTGTGCCACAGGTATGGGACCAAGGGAAACGCAGTGAGGGTGGAAGTTGTTGTTTACACTGGGAAAGAAGGCAAGAGCTCCCAGGGGTGTCCCATAGCTAAATGGGTATGCAGTTCATGCTCACACTCCCCTAACCTCCCTTCATGTATTTGTAGAGTTCCCTTGTTATGGATTTAAACAAAAGATTTGTGTCAATTTTAATTGATTTCAACCTTGTTAAAACCACATAAATTATAATCCAGTTGAATTCATGAAACCAGAGAATCCATCTTTCTTCTGCAGAATTTTTTTTGGCTGTAATTAGTCCACCCTTCGTCTGTTTTGACCAACTGATGCAAACCCATCTGACAGGTGATCCGGCGGGCGAGTGAGGAGGAGAAGCTGCTGTGTTTGGTCCGCCAGAGACCAGGGCACCGCTGCGACGCAGCCGTGCTGGTGATCCTCATCCTGGCGTGGGAGGGAATCCCACGCTCATTGGCAGATCACCTCTACCAGGACCTCACAGAGACCCTCTTTAGATATGGCTCTCCCACCAGCCGGCGCTGCGCCCTCAACGAGGAGTGAGAACTTGTTTCTTTAAATGAATTTATCCCAATTCTTTTTGTTTCTGTGCTGACTGTCTTTGCTCTATATAGTCGCACATGTGCATGCCAAGGTTTGGACCCGGACACGTGCGGGGCTTCCTTTTCCTTTGGCTGCTCTTGGAGCATGTACTACAATGGCTGCAAGTTCGCTCGCAGCAAAGTGCCTCGCAAGTTTCGGCTGCTTGGAGACTACCAGGAGGAGGTGAGGGAACGTTACTGTTTACATCTGAGCTTCCATAAATCTCCTGCTATTGTTAGTGGTTCTCCAGCCAGAGTTAATATAATATTGAGTGTATAACAGTGTTGGGAGTAACGCGGTACAAAAGTAATTAATTACTGTAATGCATTGCTTTTTGCTGTAATGTGGTAATGTAAGGCATTACAGGGAAAGAAAATGGTAATCTTTACTCGGTACAGTTGTCAGTAACGCGGTAATTACAATGCATTTTTAAACCCAGAATCAAGATGCGGGTTTCCTAAAAATTCAGATTGCGGGAAACCCGAAGAAAGATCCAGTATCTACATATATGACGTCATTTATGGACTCAGCTTTGCGGGCATTCTATGAGCAGAGAGGACGCAGCGGTGATGGCTCAAATACTCCAGCTGCGTCTGGCGCGCGGCCGCTGTTATATTCACAAAACCGCTCCACCAAAACAAAGTAATTCGTTTGCGATCATTTATATCAGCCCATATTCTCTGGTGCTTCGTGTACTTTTCAGCTGAGTTCATAATCTGTGCCCCGGTGATTTCAACTCATTGCTGCTGGAGTGCAGCGCGAAGCTTTTTTATTTATTAAATTTTTTTGCGTTCGGTAGATCCCTTTGGCTGATTAGTTAGAAAGTAGGAAGTCTAGGAAACAGTTTTTTCTGGAAGACGGAGAAAACATGCAGCATGCAGGAAGGTTAGAGAGAGAAAGGGCCGGAAATTATTCATATAAAATCAAGAAAACAAAACAAAGTGCTTGAAAAGAAAAAAGTAGGTAGATTTATCCCCAAAACACATTTTTTCCAGTGAAAAGCAATAATATACATAAGCATTTAATATTTATACAAGTGATAGAATCAGATCACCCCACAAGTCAGTCCCACATCCAGGGCCGTATCTAGGCATTTGGGGACCAAGGCAAATATAGGCTTGGAGCCCCCACCACCTTACTCCCTGCTCAGTTAATATAAGATGGCAGCGTGCTGAGAGTACAGCTTGTTGTTGCATGTATTTAATAAAGAACTGTTATTATATCTGACTGTTTTTAACAGCAACCCTAGCTCAGACACCACATCACTTTCCACATATATGTCATGAGCTCACTGAGCGTCAGATTACCAGATTCATATTGAAGCTGTTTTGGTTAAAGTTACTTCAAGTAATGCAAAAGTAGTGTAATGCCTTACATTTTAAAATCAGTAATATTGTAATGTAATTAATTACTTTAAAATGAGGGTAACAAGTAATAAATAATGCATTACAGTTTTGAAGTAACTTGCCCAACACTGGTGTATAATCATGTATCAGTCTTGCTACGCTAAGTTCAGGCCACCACGTATAAATTAGATCAAAACCTTCTCTTTACCACCCGTTGTTTTGTCTGCTTGGAAACTTTTTTGACCAAAACCAAATGTAATTTTAAGTATTTTTCCCCCTAGTGGCTCATGCTGGGTTTTACTGGCATATGTGTGAGAAATCACAACATTAGGAAACCGCTGCGTTACCTGGTGCAGAAAAAGAAAGATTAAAATAATTCACAATCAAATGTAGGATGTAAGAATATAATCATGATAAAATAATAATATAAAGTGGTAGTAATTAGAGAAACGGCTAATATATACAAGACCGTGTAGGTACTGATCAGAGCGGATCAGTTCAGGAGTGGGCAGACCTAGGATTGTCGTTTATGGGTCTAACAGCAGAGGGGAAGAAACTGTTCTTGTGCCGAGATGTTCTGGTCCGAATGGATCGGAGCCTCCTGGCAGATGGGAGAGAGTCAAAAAGACTGTGTCCAGGGTGACACGGGTCAGCTGTTATCTGACCTGCACGCCTCAATGTCCTGGAGGTACACAGGTCCTGTATGGAGGGGAGTTAGCTGTCAGTGACCTTCTCAGCAGAGCGTACAACACGCTGCAGCTTCTTCTAGTCCCTGATGGTGGCCCCAGCATGCCACATGGTGATTGAAGAGGTGAGGATGGACTCGATGACAGAGGTGTAGATGCTGGCAAATGTGCTGGCAGGTTGAATTTCCTCAGCTGCCTCAGGAAGTACATCCTCTGCTGGGTCTTTTTTATGATGGAGGTGATGGTGGGCTCCCACTTGAGGTCCTGGGTGATGGTGGTGCTTAGGAAGCAACATGAGGGGGGGAGTGGAGCTGTGTGCTTCCTAAAGTCCCCAACAACCTCCACTGTCTTATGTGCATTTAGCACCAGATTGTTGTGGCTGCACCAGAAGACCAGCCGTTTCCCAGGTTCTACAGATTTAATTCAGCTCCGTTTGTTGCTTTTAGGAGAAGAAGATAGAGAGCAATCTCCAGAACCTTGCCACTAATCTTGCTCCACTCTACAAACAACTGGCTCCTGAGGCTTTCCAAAACCAGGTAAGCAGTCAGACATGCCTCTGAACCTTCCTCTGAACCAACACCCATCCATTTGAGATAATTAACTAATCGTTTAAAGTCTGTACTGTCACAAAAATTCTTACTCTAATCCTCCCTCTTCCCCGACAGGTTGAAAATGAAGCAGGAGGGTGGGATTGCCGGCTGGGCACCAAGGAGGGTCGTCCTTTCTCCGGGGTCACAGCTTGCGTAGATTTCTGCGCCCACGCTCACAAAGACACCAGCAACATGAACAACGGCAGCACTGTGGTGAGCAGCCTGAGAGCGGTGCTCTCTCTTAGCATGTTTGAGTCATCAGGAAAAGAGCTGGTGAATGGGTGTTGTGCGGAAGAATCTTAAAGTTCCTGGTGTGTTTTCCAGGTTTGCACTTTAACAAAGGAGGATAACCGTGCAGTGCGCAACATACCAGAAGATGAGCAGCTTCATGTTCTGCCGCTTTACAAGATGTCTGACAAGGATGAGTTTGGTCAAGCGGAGGGTCAGTGGGCTAAAATCCAAAGTGGTGCCCTGCAGGTTCTGTCTTCCTTCCCCCGAGAGGTGCTGTTCCTTGTTTTCTGCTCTCTTGGTGATCGAGTGATTCAATTGTGACCACATTCCAAATTGAATGATACATGTGATTCACAGGTGCGTTTGCTGGCTGAGCCGGTGAAATCGGCCCGTAAGGTAAGACAAGAAGCTCGTCTGAAGGCTCAAGCTGAGAAGATGGAGAAGAAGCTTGGGCTGGCTGCTCTCACACCTGGGAAGGTGAAAACGGAGACGCAAAGCAAAGGAGGTAAATTCCCATCTACGGTCGGAGAATGTTTTTATTGCTTGACAAATGATTATCATTTCTTTGCCCAGAGGAGGCGCTAGGCCTGTACAGCTCTTACGGACTGCCTCCCAGACCTGCCAGTGTTGGGAGGTCTCCACCAGAGAGAAGTCAACCCAGCGCTTACAGCCAGAGCACTGGCAGCTACTCCTCTCCAGGAGCTGGGGTCACACTGCATAGGGAAGTCCTCCCCAGCGTTCACCATGGCCTCCATTTTGGACAGAACAGCTCAGCTGTCAGTTATGAGACAGGAAGTGGCACCCGGAGCGGTTATTCTCCAGCATCTCGGGAGCAGGGTTCTCCTTTGGAACGTATACCTCCACTGAACACCCTTAGAGACTATTCCTTTAAAACTGAGCCAAGTGAGGTGCTCTGCTCTGCCCTGCACAGACTCTCCCCCAGTGGAAGCGCTCCTCCCCCGCACCCTTCCTCCCTCTCCCCCCGACCTACCTCAGAGGGCCTCTTCAGCAGGCTCAATGGACTCCTGCGACCTGCAGGAGAGGTTACAGCGGAGGTCAGGGGTCACGCACTCCCTCCACACTCATCTCCTCTCTTTCAGACCCCCGCCCTCGAAGCTGAAGAAGTGAAGCAAGAAGAGGTGTGGTCCGACAGTGAGCACAACTTCCTGGACCATGACATTGGCGGGGTTGCCGTGGCACCGTCACACGGCTCCATCCTGATTGAGTGTGCACGGCGGGAGCTCCACGCCACCACCCCCATCCTCAGACCAAACCGCAGACACCCCACCCGCATCTCCTTGGTCTTCTACCAGCACAAATCCCTGAACGAGCCGGGCCACGGGATGGCTGTGTGGGACGCCAAAATGGCCAAGCGGGAACGGGATCGGGAGGAGGAGGCGGAGAGATTAAGAACGGGGTGCAGCTTGAGCAAAGAGGAGAACGGCTCTGGAGGGGTGGAAGGGGAGGAGGAAGTAGGTGGTGAGGGAGAGGAGATGAGGAGAGTTACAAACATCCCAACACGTCAAGCTTGGACACTCCCTAGAGACGGGGTCATCACCGTGTCCCCGTACGCTCTCACACAAGTGACCGGCCCATACAATCGCTGGACTTAGTCGCCACATTTCACAAACACACAAAACTCCTGAAACAATGCGCTTCTGCCTTACCTCAATCCGCTTCAAACCGCCTCGCTCCTACTCGCGTCGTCTTCTTTGTACTTTTCTAAAACCCACAGACTTCGTCCTTCTCAGTCTCTGCCTTTACGACGAGCAGAAGGACCAAAGCTTTTGCTGTTTTGGGCTTTTTAACTGTGAGTTTTTGGTGCTGGTTTTTAATGTAAAGAGATGGTGCTTCGAAGCATTTAAAGATGTTTTTAAACTGGCTTTATACACGTGATTAAGAACAAAAAAAGATGTGATTATTTATTCTGATTCTAATGATTTCTATTTAATTTCCTGTGTACGCCTGTTTACTGCAAGATTTCTATGATGAACCTGCATTGAGTTGTGCAGAAGGAGTGTACTTTTTATTTCAGCCAATCGTTTCTCCTTGGCTTTTATACTGGTGCCATTCTCACTGTAAACCTTGTTTTAAACAAACACCACATCATGGAGACTAATAACGAGCTTATATTTACTACAGACTGTCACATGTAGCACGGTGAATGAAATGTACTTCTTTGGTTTGTGTTCTTTTTTTTTCTTCCATCTGGATGTATTTTTTCTGCTTATTCTTCACAAATAGGGACGACAATAAGAAGCACTTTGTTTCCTAACTTGAAAAAAATAATACACAGTCTACAAACCTGAATATGCATGTCCAGACAGACTCATACACATGGTCACGTCTTTGTTTCTCAGTATTTTTATTTGCTTTATAAATGGCATACATATCTAATTAAATTAAAAACGCTGCAGGAATCAGGAAATGCTTGTTAGCTGGACACTTCATTTATACCGAGCACCTGGAATTCAACTTTTTCAATGGGAACAAGTGTGATTTTTGGGTTACTCTTCATTTTACTGGTGCTACAGAGACTTGCTGCATGTTTTTATTTTCATAAAGGTGCAAAACATCAGCTACATCAACTTAGTATTGCAAGTTTAAGAACAAAAAACTGTTGGCCTCATGCTGAATTATCAAACTACGGCATAAACCATTTAAAAAAGCTAATGACTGCGAAATTTCGATCGCTCAACCCATGTGGGAACTTTGTCTACAGGCTGTTTTCTGTTAAAAAAAAGGTGAGTGAATCAAGATTTTTTTAACCCATGAAAGAGAAGCTCTTCATTTTAACACATCTAAGACTTTTTTTTAGCACAACCCTTTACTGGTATGCACACTAACACTGACGACAGCATTTCAAATCAAATAAATGTGGTTTTGTACACTCTTAACCCTCTGGAGGCAGGCGTTGCAGATTTGCAACATTAAAACCTACCTGGTTACTCCACATACATACTTCATGAGCATTTTTTAACTCAGAAGTACCCCTGAAGGACTTAGTTGTTCGTCCTTTTATCAAAACTTATTTTGAGCCTGAGAGGGTTAAACTCTCTTGGTGCTAATGAGACAAGATGTCAAGGTGCGTTAACACGTACATTGAACCCACCACACCACCGACCCAACCTGGTTCCTTACTGTACAACGGTGATGGCGTGGTGCTTTTACATTCAACACAAAGTTTGTTTTATTCTTCTTTGGATCAAGATCAGACACAAATGCATTCATCGTGTTTGTTCAGTTGTCCACGCACAGTCGATGTCTTCCGTCATTGTTCAAAAATGAATGTAAACTATTTAGAATCCATTGATATAGAAAGAACAGTTTTCAAGCCTGGTGGGGCAATTTTTTAGTTGTAAATGTTTATTTTTGTTTTCCGGGACATTTTCAAACCACATGGAACATTTTTGTAGAAACCAGTGAGCACCAGCATTCAGAATAACTGTAAATATGTATGTGAACCACATTGTTTTTACTGTACTGTTAATCGTGTTTAGACAATGGATGATCTGACTTGGAAACTGAATTACTGTAAGTGGCTGAAAGTATGTTCAGTTTAGACCCAAGAAGAGACAACATTTAGCATTCCTTCTATGGATGGCTGATCTCTTTCAGGATTGTGAAATAAAGTCATATTTATATTTTGGACCTTATAATTAGTTCCTCTTTTTTGTTTGAATTTTCAACATTTCTACATGATGGCGTGGCTCACTAAGGAATTCTAGTTTGGCTATTTAATAGACTTTTAGGGTTGCATTAAAGGCATTCGACTCTGGGTAATTCGAGTAAAGAAATTTAGCTATCTTGTAGAATTTGCCAGATTTGTTTCTACAGATTATTGCCATGATGCCTCACTCACCTTGTTACATTTTTAATCAAAAGAGTATAATCAAATTCACATTCATTGTTTTTTATTTATATTTTTGTTTAGAAATTGCTACAAAATTAAACATTTGGATTTATCTTAAAGTTTTATGGATTTATGTGCTATTTTTAGAAATAACAAATAAAACATGTTCTTAATTTGATTTATTAATTTAAGTTGTGAAATATATATCATATGGCTCCTTTAGTCCAAGCTCTTAGGAAAAACGTGAGAACGTAGATTTTCAATACATTTAACAAAGTGACTGCGTGTCTTCAGATCAGTCGCCTTAACTGGACTGAGGCGGCTTCCGTAGTAGTGGATTGGAGTGACGCACAGCGCCGAACAGGCAGATCATTTCTAGAGTCAAGATGGCGACTTCGGAGCCGGTAAGAGAAAAAAACAGACAGATTAAAAATCTATTAATACGCACGTAATGAGTCGTCATGGCGTATTGTTTTTTGTTTAGAGCCCCCTTGTAAAGTCGTTATTTTCAAAATGCTTTAATATTTTATACAAATAATGACGTTTGAGTTGAAAGATATCGGCAAGGATTAGCGTTAGCATGCGGAGCAATGTGATGGATGAAGCCCTGCCTGACTTTGTTGGTAGAGAGGGAGTGACTCACTGGACGTCGTTCATTCAAACTCCACTCAGTGATTTGTTCAACTCTTTTGTGATATTAGAGTCATTATTCGTCGGTGGTCGTTAACAGCACATTTAAGTGTCTTTACGTTTGTATCAATAATTTATTTTTGACCGTGGACACGTGTGTTTCGAGCTTGTAGCTTAGCTTAGCACGTCTGCTAAAACGGTTAGCAACCGTTAGTTGAAAAGTTAGCTTACGACTGAATTCTGTATTTGTGGATTAAAGATTAGACCAGATTTGTTATTTTAGTCAGTAGTTATTCGTAAAATTGGTGATACATGGCCTCATTCAAATGTGCTTGGGTAAATTATGGACCGTGAGATAAATCTTTTGCCACGTTATGGACATGTACCTTACCAGTTTGATCCTTTGCCCGTTTATTAATATTAATATATTTTTTTGTTCTATTACCCTAAACAGTTGTAGTAACAGCGGTCACCTATTAGAATTAGTTGATTTGAGGACTCCCTCCTTGTTAACTGGATGTCCAAATTGCCTCACCCTCTTTTTAACCTTTTACTTCTCCATCCTCTGCATACGACACTACTGTTAGCTAACCATAATCCGTAATATTTTTTTTTCTAACAGAGATGTATGCAAATTTGAATTTGTAGCTTCATCTGTGGCTCAAACGAATCACTATTGATAAATTCACTGCGATGTGAAGATTCTTCCAGAATCTTCTATTTTGGCTTTCCCTTCATTGGTATCCGCAGTGAATCATCTCTCAATTTAGTCCTAAACAGACAGATTGTTAATGTTTACTTAACTATAAGAGTTATGTGTTATAACATCTCACCACAGATTTAGATTGAACTAGATTATTTTCATGTTTGTTGCAGCATTTTTCTCCTGTAAACCTTTATTACTTTCCCACCATGGCTTACATATACAGTTCTGAGCTTTCCTTTTTGTCTTATTTCTCTTTCAAATTAGAAACAATTTAGTGTAATGTGTTGCTAAGTTCAAACCTCAGTGAGCTTAATATTTACAGCCAAATCTTTAAACTTTAAATGTCTAAAATGAAGTTCAGTAGCAGGAACTGTTGGCAGTTTCCCTTTTTTCACTAGTAAAAACTGCTTATTGGAATTTGAAAACAATTGAGTTATTTTTTTGTAAATTTTCATAAAAATAAGTGTTGCAAATTTCCTTAATTGTGGAAAATCATTATGCGGCTATATTGCGCCACCCTTAATTCATGATGTGGCATTGATGGCTTCGTGTTCTTTCATCCTCAGAAATCAGCTGAAGTCGAGGATCAGCCGACTGATGATCAGGTTGTTGCAAATCCTGAGCAGTATATCAAACATCCTTTGCAAAACAGGTGAGCTTTGAAAATTTCTGCCTCGATCAAACCAGCCTCATTATCAGGATGTGAATGAAATAATATTTGATCAAACTGTGAAACTTTCTTGCTCTTTTCAGTACGAGTCTTGATACTGGATTTTTCAGCAAAAGGGAAGAGGGAGTCTGTATTTCCCTCTTAAAGCCTTTTCTTATACGTATTTGAATGAACTCAGTCTCATCTTAAAGTATTTTTTCATTAAATGTGTTGCTGCATTTATTTTACATAGATGCTCTCAAGTTTCGGATGTTGCAACAGGAACTCCACGTAGCACAAACAGAACCGAGAACCAAAAGCTGCCTGAAATTATGAAAAACATGATCATCTTTTGGAAGTGTGATCAGATAACCACAGACTGGGGGGGGGGGGGGGGGGGGGGGGTCAGCTAGATATGAAGATTAGGTTAAAAACAGAAATGCTTTCTCAACTAGGGCTGTCGCGGTAACCGCAAAAATGAAATATCGCAATATGAAGAAGCCTACCGCGCTGCATCATGGGCCACCGCGATTACTGAACTTGGTTCAACTCAATGATGCATGTAGAGAAGGATGGCTGCACTGGTATCAAAACGAAACGTCACTTCGCTCCTTTGGGAGCACTTTGGTTTTCAGTACGTCAGCTGCTGCGCAGCCAGAGTCGTTGGCCGAGACAGAGCTGCCACCAGCGGCAAAATAATAATAAACGCTCGGAGACCTGCTGAAGTCCTGGACAAGCACTGCTTCTGCAACCGTCCCGAAGAGAGTTTGAGCCGAGCTGGAGCTCACTCGCTACCTGCAGGAGGAATACATCCACCCTAAAGAAACCCCCCTGACATGGTGGAGCAACAACCGGGAGAGATTCCCTTTGCTCGCCAGTCACACGCAAGTACGTGTGCGTGCAACGAGCGCACCATCCGAGAGGGTTTTCAGTGTTGCTGGAAATGTTGCCACCCCTCTCAGATCCTCTCGCAAACTGTATATGGTTAACATGCTGGTTTTCCTTGTGGGTAACAAGGACGTGACCGAGCTATAAATCACCGTCATTCGTGTGTGTGAAAGTGAAATGATAGTGCGCCCGGTACATGTAATTTTTATGCTTGATTTTAAACAACTAAACAAAATGGGGACTTGTTTCTTATTTGTTAGATGCTGCAGCCAAATTTGCATTTAAAAGTTTAACCTCCTGAATTTTGTTGTTTTTAAGTTCAGTCGGACTCCGACTGTCGGAGAAACAAACGTTACTGCGATCTGTGTTGTTACTGCCCTTTGATCTGCATTCAGTAAAGTGTTATTAAAGAAGGCACGGCAATTTTAAACCTTTTTTAAATGTGTAAACATTATGTTTAGATAGTACTGCAATAAAAAAAGAAGTGCTGCAATAATATCGCACACCGCAATATTAAGCCACCCTGAATCACCGCAGGAGGAATTCCTCAACCGCGACAGCCCTACTCTCAACCTATCTCATATGTTTATGTTTATTGATTTAGCAGACGCTTTTATCCAAAGCGACTTATAATTTATAACCTATAGGGCATGTTGTGATCTGTGGGGGAAACCGGAGTGCCCGGAGGAAACCCACGCATGCATGGGGAGAACACGCAACTCCACGCAGAAAGGCCACAGCTGAGTTTTGAACCTGCAACCTTCGTGCTGCGAGGCAACAGTGCTAACCACTGCGCCACCATGCAGCCCGTATTTAAGGATATCTGTCAGTCTTAAACCACACTTTCCAGTTCTTGCAAGTTTATTATGAATATAAATTAAACCATTTAAAATGCCACATAATAATACTAACTTTATTTATATAGCTCCTTTAAATAAAGCACTGCACAGCATAAAAGTTAAAAAACAGTACCCCAATATAAAGACAACAGCATCACTTATAAGCAAATGAAATACACATAAGCATTAAAATCAAAGATAAAATAAGAACAAGCTAAAACAGAAAACTAAGTAAAAATGTCTTAAAAGGAACTGAGTGATCAATCAGTACCAGCTTTAGAAAAAGGTAAAAGGTGCGTTTTCAGTTTAGCTTTGAAAACGTCCACCGAGCGTGCTTGTCTGACATCTTGTGGCAGAGCAACGGAGCATGAAAAGCAAATTAATGCCCACCTACCTAGTGTCATCCGCTTTATTTTTGGGATGCGTAAGAGCCCCATGCCGTGTAAGTGCAGTGCCCTAGATGGAACATATGGGTCCAGGAGATCAGTGATGTAGGGTGGAGCCTGATTCTGGAGAGCCTCATAGGTCAACTAGACCTTAAAATTAACTCGAGTAGGACACAACAACCAGTGTAGAGATTTTAGTACAGGTGTGATGTGGTCATACTTTTTTTTACCTGCTAAGATACGTGCAGCTGCATTTTGAATGAGTTGTAGGCAGCGGAAGCTCTTTAGGGGCAGACTAGAGAGAAGGGTGTTGCCTCTAATAGTCAATTCTGGATGAAACAAATGTATGCATCAGGACTCTTGCATCATCTGACAAAATCAACTTAATTTTAGCTATTAAGTGAAAGAAAGCCATTTTAAGTTTATTTCAAATGAAGATCGAATGTCAGAGTTGAGTCAACCCACACTCCCAGATTTTTGAGCCTGTCAGTGTTATTGTCAATAGGAGGCTCGTGCACGAGGCGCGCATGCTGTACGTGCACACTCCTTAACGAAAATAACAGCTGAGATGAAACTCTGTGAAGCTGACAGTCCCGTGTGTTTGTGTGTCCGTCCCGGTGGACAGAGGACAGGAGAACACGCAGCTAATTAATTAAATAGTTTGGTTCTAGGGCTGCACGATATTAGGAAAACCTGCGATATCGATATTACTCACGATAAATGAACAAATACTAAAGTATGCAGTGTTGATGTCGTCTGGCGTGTGATGTCTGCTCTGGGTTCAAAGCAAACAAAAACTAATGCATGAATTCCATTACAACATAAGATTTTTATTGCAAAAATATGCAGCTGCACCTGCTACTGTATTAGCAGCAAAACAACAAACTGCATGCATGCAGTTTCTCAGTGACTTTAACACATCACCTCCACCATAAAACTTTTTCTGATGCTCCAAATACAGAAAAACATCCCTTACCAGGGTTTTTAGAATAAATTAAAAAAAAAAACAACAGAAAATAAGTTTAAATGTTAAATAATAGTTAACATCACTTAAATGCAACAGCAAATTCTCTCATTGCTACTGAGCATTTTCTCCACTTACAGGTGCTGGCCAGTAAATTAGAATATCATCAAAAGGTTGAAAATATTTCAGTAATTCCATTCAAAACGTGAAACTTGTACATTATATTCATGCAATGCACACAGACCAATGTATTTCCAATGTTCATTACATTTAAATTTGATATTTATAGGTGACAACCAATGAAAACATCAAATCTGGTATCTCAGAAAATTAGAATATTCTAAAGGCCAATGAAAAAATGTTTGTTTCTCTAATGTTGGCCAACTGAAAAGAATGAACATGAAAAGAATGTGCATGTATAGCACTCAATACTTAGTCGGGGCTCCTTTTGCCTCAATAACTGCAGTAATGCGGCGTGGCATGGACTCGATCAGTCTGTGGCACTGCTCAGGTGTTATGAGAGCCCAGGTTGCTCTGATAGTCGTCTTCAGCTCCTCTGCATTGTTGGGTCTAGCGTATTGCATCCTCCGCTTCACAATACCCCATAGATTTTCTATGGGGTTAAGGTCAGGCGAGTTTGCTGGCCAATCAAGGACAGGGATACCATGGTCCTTGAACCAGGTGCTGGTGGTTTTGGCACTGTGTGCAGGTGCCAAGTCCTGTTGAAAGGTGAAGTCTGCATCCCCATAAAGTTGGTCAGCAGCAGGAAGCATGAAGTGCTCTAAAACTTCCTGGTAGACGGCTGCATTGACCCTGGACCTCAGGAAACAGAGTGGGCCAACACCGGCAGATGACATGGCACCCCACACCATCACTGACGGTGGAAACTTTACACTGGACCTCATGCAACGTGGATTCTGTGCTTCTCCGCTCTTCCTCCAGACTCTGGGTCCTTGATTTCCAAAGGAAATGCAGAACTTGCTTTCATCAGAAAACATAACTTTGGACCACTCAGCATCAGTCCAGTCCTTTTTGTCCTTGGCCCAGGCGAGACGCTTCTTGCGCTGTTTCTTGTTCAAGAGTGGCTTGACACACGGAATGCGACACCTGAATCCCATGTCTTTCATGAGTCTCCTCGTGGTGGTTCTTGAAGCGCTGACTCCAGCTGCAGTCCACTCTTTGTGGATCTCCCCCACATTTTTGAATGGGTTTGTCGTCACAATTCTCTGCAGGGTGCGGTTATCCCTAGAGCTTGTACACTTTTTTCTACCACACTTTTTCCGTCCCTTCGCCTGTCTGTTAATGTGCTTGGACACAGAGCTCTGCGAACAGCCAGCTTCTTTAGCAATCACCTTTTGTGTCTTGCCCTCCTTGTGCAAGGTGTCAATGATTGTCTTTTGGACAGCTGTTAAGTCAGAAGTCTTCCCCATGATTGTGGTGCCTTCAAAACAAGACTGAGGGACCTTTTAAAGGCCTTTGCAGGTGTTTTGAGTAAATCAGCTGATTAGAGTGGCAGCAGGTGTCTTCTATATTCAGCCTTTTCAGAATATTCTAATTTTTTGAGATACCAAATTTGGAGTTTTCATTAGTTGTCACTTATGAATATCAAATTTAAATGTAATGAACATTGGAAATACATTGGTCTGTGTGCATTGCATGAATATAATGTACAAGTTTCACGTTTTGAATGGAATTACTGAAATATTTTCAACCTTTTGATGATATTCTAATTTACTGGCCAGCACCTGTATGTGGTTATGATAGTAAGGCTGTTGCTGTAATTGGGAAGTGAACCGTGCTGGGCCAAACTAGGAGAATATTAAAATTTTCTGAGGGAAAAAGAAAAACAATTGTCTACCTTTCAGAAGAGGAACTGGCAAAAAACTACATGGAAAATATGTGAAAATGTTTGTTTTTAACCCCAAATTGAACAAGTTTACCTAGAACTTAAAAAGCAGCTCAGATGATGAAACTGCAACTATGATTCTGATAACAAGCTAACAAATTGAACTAGCTCCTCTAAGACAACCGGCTAGCAGAGCTTCTGACTGACAGTTTATGTGCAGCAGCAAATCAACTATCCTGATTAACAAGGTTATAAAAGCTCATAAATGAAAAATCACTTTGATGTGTGGGGGAACTTTTCCAGGCCCTCTTTAGCAGGGTGGGACTGGGAGGAGAGTGCCGTAGCCTTTTAGCTGGAAGCTAACCGGAGCCTGGGGCTAACACTAGCGACATGGAGTTAGGTGGGTTGGTTCACCGGCACGTGTCAGAGTCAGCCCGGTAAAAATGATTAACGACACTGAGCGGACTCGCGTTCACGTTTGAAAGCAGCGCTGATTCCAGAAACCTCAGCACAAAGTGCGTTCGTTAATCTGAGCCAGCATGACGAACAAGGGAACGGCGCCGCTAACTCAGTTCGGGTGTTGTTTTCCATCCTAAGGGTCTACGTAGGGGGCGGGCGTATTACGTGAACAGACCCATCTGATTGGCCACATATCAGAAGGGCTACATTTGATTGGTCATATAATACTTCCACGTAAAAAACAGAGCTGGTTTACAAAAAGTTGATGTATGACACGGATGGAAATGTTGAACCAAACATTTATTGCCGTTTTTGACATGCTTTGCGATGGGCCTATCGCACGTCCTGTTATCGCGATGACGATGATTTTTCGATATATTGTGCAGCCCTATTTGGTTTTGTACTTTTCTCCAGCACAGCCGACAAAGGTTTATGATGGGTCAGTCCTCCTGCATGCTCAGATCATTCCCTTCCCTTGCTTGAAAAATTGTTCCAAAATGAAAGTTGAACCCACATCTTTTTTATCTGTGAATTCAATGCCATTCGGCGAGTCTCAAATAAAAATTTTGTCATCTTACTGTAAAAAAAAACATCGTTATCGTAAAAACGAAATTCTGAAACAACCATGTTCACGTCGAGAATCAAACCCGGGTCTTCTGCACGAAAGCCGGAAATTTTACTAGGCGAGCTAAATCGCCAGTGGAGTCTTCTGCATCTGTAACTTTTATATCCTTGATCACAGCTGAAACAACGTTCAAAGAACGGTTCAGAGGGCTGTGCCTGAGCGTGAACACGCATGAAGCAGCCTGCTCAACCCGAGCATCTCTCTTTTTCTGCGATTTTACAGAAAAACAGGCAATCACAGTAAAAATGCCAGGGCTCATTCTACAGGACCAGGCCATTGCAGGAGAATATATGAAGAAGAAATTTATTATTTCTATACATGTTTTGGCTGTCAAACTTCCATAATGCCCCTTAAAATGTGTTTGATACAAAACAAACACCTTTGCCAACACAAAAAGTAGTTCAAATCACCACCTTTAAGAAAATATAAGATTGCTCTGTCACACGATTGTGACAAACATAAAAACGAGGCGTTTGGATGAATTCAGCCAGAACTTCACATTTTTTGGAATATTTGTTTGCATCCTTATGGCTCCTGTGGGTCCCAGGAGTTGTGCCTGAGCATAAGTGTTGGGAAATGATGCGTGCCTATAAAAATGTAGCATAAATGCACAAATAGGGCTGCAACAACGAATCGATAAATTCGATGAAAATCGATTACTAAAAGCGTTGGCAACGAATTGCGTCATCGATTCGTTGTGTCGCACAACTCTTCCAAAAGCGCCCCCCCTTCCCGCCCGCCGTTGCGCGCAGACCAGAGCAAGTCAGATCAGCGCGAGGGAGAGCCGGCAGATCAGCGCGAGGGAGAGCCGCAGATCAGCGTGAGGGAGAGCCGCAGATCAGCGCGAGGGAGAGCCGGTAGCGGCAGATCAGCGTGAGGGAGAGCCGGTAGCGGCAGATCAGCGCGAGGGAGAGCCGCAGATCAGCGCGAGGGAGAGCCGGTAGCGGCAGATCAGCGCGAGGGAGAGCCGGCAGACTTGCGCTGCTGCGAACCGGTTCCGCATTGTTGCACAGCGATCCAGGCAGCTGCTTCCAGCGCACGGTCCATTCTCAAAGTGGCGCAACCAAAAAACTATAATTAGCACACGATCGTTCATGTCTGCACATGTTCTCTATTTTCTGTCTTATTTGTGCCTGAAGCTCGCTACTGCGGAGGTCATCACCTGTGCTGTGGTGATTTCACCTCACGCAGCATTGAAAACGCGCTCTGCGCTTTTCGGTCAGGAGATCCCTTTGACCTGCTCAAAAGTAACTGATGAGGTGAAAAAGTAAGAATCCAGGCAACAGATTTTCTGGAGAATTAAGAGGAGATGCAGGAAGATGAGAGACAGACAGGACAGGAAAATAGTTCAATAAAAACAAGAAAACAAAACAAAGTGTTGAAAAGTAAAATGTAGGTAGAGTTATCACCACTACACGTTTTTACCAGTAAAAAACAATAAGTTATACACATGTCATATTTATACATCTGATACAATTCAGATCACCTTCAAAACTCAGTCACACACCCAGGGCCGTTTCAAGACATTTTGGGGGCCAAGGCAAAATGCCCCCCCCCCCCCCCCCCCCAATAACTGGGCTCCCCAGAAGCCTCTGTGTAATTCTTACCCTCTCCAGGAGTATTAGTTTTACACACTGTAAAAGCCCCTCAGACATCACTGACATGTTCTAATATTATCAGATGAAAAACTAAATTATCAGACATGCTGTCTCATCTGCTTCTTTTATAAACTTGCAAAAAGTAACAAAACCATTTGAAAGCCACTATTTGTGGATTCTCTGAAAGTTTCCATGGAATTTGTGACAACTTATTTTTTCATTGATCCTATCGTCTAATCTCACAGCTGAAACAAGCATCCTTAATAATCTGTGCACAGGAAGCTTACCGATGCTGTAGTAAAACAAAAGGTATAATAATTTATTATTAATAAAACCTTGTTGCAGCACTAAAGCAGAAAAATTAGATTTTGCATTAAATATGCAAAATATTTACATATGAATTGTTTTAGAGCCCTTTAATTGGCAGAATCTGATATTAATTTAGTTCTTACAAAAAATGGGTCCCAACATGGTTTGTGTGGCGTTGCCATAGTGTGACGTCATAGGCACAGATCCCCTGTCCTCTTGTTTGGAAATGGAAATATGGTGACCCTACATTAAACAAACTGTCCACCCAGGCTTTTGCGCTGCACAGAGACGCTTCGCTGCCTACGACTGAACGTCAGTTGAGATTCAGTCTCATGCAGACTGACCAATGAAGAGAGGGCCTCAAGTTAAGACCCTCTCCTCATTGGTCAGTCCACACGAGGTGGGTCAAAGGTTACTCTGGGCGGGTTACGTGTTGTCAGGCATTCAAGTATTGAGTATATTTACTGCATATTACAGTAAAATATTCTGTATGTGATCACATTATGGTGATCCTTGGGTCGTGATGATGGAGCCCTTGAATATTGTTGCCCAGGGTACAACAAAGTGTTAATCTGGCCCTGGTTCGACCGTCACATTCCCGCAGAAACTGGTTGATCACACCGGGGCCAGACTACTAGCATGTGGTTTTACAACCACAATGTCCTCAGAAGCAAAAACGCTTTTAAAAGGGAGGGAGGAGTCCTAACTGTTGCTGCAGGCGTGTTGTGTGAGAGTGCAGTTATATACTGGTTAATATATTTTTGGGTTCAGTTGCTTTCATGTGGCCTAATGTGAGTCTATTTGGGATCATTGGAATGATCAGCAGCATTTCTTGATGTGACTTTATGGCAGTTGCCCAGGGCATCATCGCAAGGAGGATGGCATTCATTTACTTTTGTTTTATTTGGTATTTTTTCAGTCATTTTTGGAAATAGTGATCAATTTTGATTAATTCACAGCCTATGTTTAATTACATTTAAAATAAATGTCAACAGATGAGATCAAACAAAACAGATGAGAATTGCCCTTAAGCTGTTTAACTTGGACCAAGCATTTTAGGTCACAGATAGATGTAGCTTAGGGTCTCTGTCTATACACCTTATAAGACAATTTAGGTGATGGCATGTTGTTTTTCTGCTATTGAACTGTTTTCTAATAATGTTGTGTTAAATAAAGTGAAGGAAGGAGAGAAATAATGTTTCCCTAGCAGTTTTTAAAAATTTCCCCATGTAATCCGATTAATCGATTAATCGTGTCGAGACCCCATCCGATTAATCGATTATCCAAATAATCGTTTGTTGCAGCCCTATGCACAAATATGGTCCAGTTGACCTGTTTGGTGTTTGTTTATATTGGTGTGTGTTTAGAGGATGAGTGGTGTTGCTGTTCCAGGGGTGTGTGGTAGGAGGGCACAGGGTTTGCCTAATGCCCCCTCTTTGACCCCAGCCCCCCCCCCCCCCCCCCCCCCCTTGCTGAAAACGAATGAAAGAGTACATGAACCCATTGTAACATTGCCAGTGCTGATGATGGGTGGCCTTTTCTTTACTTTTGCACCGACACGTCTGCTTTTGTAATTAGCTCTTGTGTCTGCGGTGAGCTGAGGTTTATCCTTTTCATGTAACTGCATGAAGTAAAAAGCCTGTTTAGGCAAATTTCTTCACATGTTGGTATGACTTTAAAAGTTTATATAAACAGTTTTGTGAAAAAATGAAAGTTTTTCATTATCCTTTGTCCCGTGGATGCTAAATGTTGTTTGTTGTTTCTTCAGATGGGCCCTGTGGTATTTCAAAAACGACAAAAGCAAAAGCTGGACCGAGAACTTGCGTCTTATTTCCAAGTTTGACACAGTGGAGGACTTTTGGGCGTAAGTTAAATTAGTTTATTCTTGTTGTGTTTGATTCTTTCACTGAGAGAATAAGCATGGGGATTTTTTTCATCTGCTCAGTAACTAAATTAGGGCTACAACTAATAATTATTTTCATAATCGATTAATCTGTCGATAATTTTTTCGATTAATCGGTTTGTTATTGTTTAGCTATTTAACCTATACAAGTGATGAATACCTTTCAGTTAAGAAAAAGAAAAACATAAAAGAATTGTGCAGTTGACTGCAATCTATTTTATTGCACATGAACACAGTCAGCGGTGTAAAATGAGCTGAACAGTGCAAAATATCAGTCCAGAATAAATTTTTGGCATCAAAATATAAAAGGTAAATTCCATAAAAAATAATGTAGAATCTAGAATAGAGTTTGTAAGTGGTATGCATTGCTGGGGGGGTGAGTGTCTTGTTCCCCATGTAGTTGTCCATCGTTGCTTGTTTTTTTCTGCATAAGAAACACAAATTGACTGAAATAAGTACACATATAAAATAAAGCAGCACACACACTACAACACTAAATCAATATTATATTATTTGAATTAATTAACAATATACAGTGATCATTTATTTTGATAAAAATGTGTTGTGAGGCATTTTACAGCGTTAGATAGTAAAACAGCCTTTTAATAGTAAAAAAAAAATGACTTTCTGAATTTCTCCTGTATTTAAAAATTGAAAGCGTACAACTATGCCGCGTTATATTCACCTGGACACAGCTCGTCTGTATATTTTTCTCCGCGGAGTTGTCCTTTTTTGAATGAGGAACATAGTTATGGGTTTGTGCCGTTTTTCTCTTAACGAGAACATTCTTATAAACAGACGTGCTAAATTTGGCAAGCGCATGATACACAACACGGAGATTCACAATTGCATTTAGTCAATCAGAAGTAGAACACCGTAGACTGACGCGGCAAAAAAACATGTTTAACTATAACGAACTCAGCTAAAACACTAAGTCCCAAATTTGATCTGCGTGTAGTGATGGACCACTATATTTAGCTTGTTTATTTTCTGTTACTTACCGGGCTGGCTCTTCCTCTGCTGCATCAGCCCCCACATGTTTTTGTCTCAAATGTTCACTTAGGGACGTGGTGCTTCCGTGCCATGCTAGATGGTTTTTGCATATTTTGCAGGTCACCCGTCTTTTCATGGCATCTAGAGTGAAGTGCTCCCAAACTCGTGAGGTTTTTGTCCGGGGTTTCTCTTCAGTTTTGTCGCTTCTATTTTTCTTCCGTATTTCTTCTTGTTCCGCCATCTCTCACAGCAAGATGTGCGTCAGTAACGTGTTACGTCATGAAAACCGAGGGCACTTATTGGCTCGTTTCTTCTTCTACGGCTCCGCTGGTAGATCAGTGGCTCATTACTGCCACACACTGGCGGCAAATTTAACAGATTGTAACCGATGTCAGATTGTGGTAAAAATAGACTTTATGCGGTAAAGTGTGATTATTAAACAACTAATTGATGACTAAAAAACTATTTTAATAATCGATTATAATCGATTAAATCGACTAGTTGTTTCAGCTCTAAACTAAATGCTGTTTTTCTGTGCCATTGTGATGTATTTAGACTAGATAGATAAACTGAAATTTTAAGCTGGAACTAGAAACATTTCACTTTAACTTTAGTTCGAGATTTATAACACACATGAAACGCCATCTGTCGGTCTACGACCCCATGAGAAGCCTCCGTTTAGATCCAGGATGTCGAGGTCCGTGGACCATCCTTTGTACCGAAGCCGGTAGAAAAGCAGCGGCGCTGACCAGACTAGTCTCGGAATGCTCCCAGGTCACGACAGGTTATTATTGGCGTCAGCGAGACCCTGAAGGGGACGTGAGGTTCAGCTTTTATTCTGAAGGAACCGCTGCGGTCAGGTGTAACGTGCAACAGATTTTATCCAGCTTGTCGAGCAAGGTTCTTTCGGCTAAAGAGGAAGTTTGGATGGCCTGTCCGAAACTTCTCTAGAAGGCTTTGAACTGAACTAAAGGTGGCGTGGAATCGTTTTTATAATTGTCATATTTTAGTTTACTGGCGAATCAGAATTTGACTTGCAAAAGAGGGCTTATACAAACACCACAGAAAACCACGCCTCGCGTCAGAAACGTAGGTTCTGATTGGATCAGACAAAAGGAAATGTGTCGTGTAGGGATGCACCGATCAGGTTTTTTGCTGCCGATCACCGATACAGATATCAAAGAATGCTGATCACCGATACCGATCACGTGGATTGGCCAGAAATGTTCTACAACATTATAATGAGTGCTACAAACTACATAATCTGGGAATAAAGGAAATGTAACCTAATCTAAAATGGTCTGTATTGGGCTGTCACGGTGTGAAAATTTAACCTCACGGTTATTGTGACCAAAATTACCACGGTTTTCGGTATTATCGCAGTATTTTTTTGTACGTGCAAAAACCCTCATCAGGACATCCCTAGTTTTAATAGTTTTCTTTATTCTTATCCATGGAAAATTAAAGCAGGAGTTTATTTTATGCATTACACAATGATAAATCTATCTAATATTGTTTTGTTGCAGGTTATACAATCACATACAGCAACCAAGCAAGCTCAACTTTGGCTGCGATTATTGCTTATTTAAGGTAACCCCTCCCTCTTTTAAACTTTTAAAAATTAGTTTTTTAATCACAATTATTTTCTCAACAAGGCTCGCAAAACATGTGCTGTAAACAGAATGGAGTGTTTAGGTTAAATTGGCTTTTGCTGCATTTAAATAATCCTTTTCTCAGATGAAATCTATTCCTGTCTACGTGCAGATTTGTAGATCTAACTTTTATTCTGTGTGTCAGGATGGGATCAAACCGATGTGGGAGGATGAGAGGAACAAGTTGGGGGGGCGATGGTTGATAACTCTCAACAGACAACAGAGACACAACGACCTCGATCGCTACTGGATGGAAACGGTAACGCTGCTGCTTTTTATTTTTCACAAAACTGCATTATCCAAAACTCCTGTTGATTGTGTTTGTTTGAATAAAAGGCGGCTAGTTGAAGCAGAGTTTTATGTTCTGCAGCTCCTGTGTTTAGTCGGAGAGTCGTTCGATGAGGCGAGTGACGACGTGTGTGGAGCCGTGGTCAATGTCAGACCTAAAGGTGACAAGTTAGCCATCTGGACGAGCAACTGTCAAAACAGGGAAGCCATCATGACGATAGGGTAAGATCTATGGTGGTGTTGCCACCAGTTTCTGACCACTAGGTGGTGTCTGTAATCACAAGTCTTTATTTCTTCTTCCTGTCCACAGGCAGCTTTACAAAGAGCGTCTGAGCCTCCCTGTGAAAGCCTTGATTGGCTACCAGTCACATGACGACACGTCCAGTAAGAGCGGATCCACCACCAAGAACATGTACTCCGTTTGAAAAACCTCCCCCTCATTTCAACTCGCTGTAGATTTAAACAATTACCGATCGGCATCACCACATTAACTTTTGAGTTGTCAACTACTATAGTGTCCTTTCCTTTTATTGCTAAGAGAATTGTTTATAATGTGTACAGTTGGAGTTTCCACTAAACGCAACGGAGACGAGGATATAACAGAAGAGTGACTTAAATGAATAAAAGCATAATTTCCTTTTAGAGTTGAAGAGTTCTGTGAGTTAAATCGGTGACCTTCTTTAGTTGAGAACAAGTTTTCTTCAGTACTTAATAACTTTGAGTTAAACAAAAAAAAAATTCCCCCAACTATGTAAGGCCTTGTGTTTTTCTCATGCTGAGCGTTTCTCACGTCACAGAAAACAAGATGGTAGGCAACGTATCCTTACACAGAACACGGTTTTAACACTTTTAACTTGATTTATTCAGAAGTGTTAATCTTGAGGTGTGCTTTCAGACACTCCAGTTTGAATTTACAGTATCTTTAATGGTTTGTAAAAGTCGTGGTCACACTCCAAAAAGTAACGTTTGGATTTAGGCCACTTATTGTTTCAGCCATGCTGAAATTATGGGATTTTGCTTGTAGTACTTTTTTTTTAAGTGTTTTTTTTTTCACTTACATTTATTTATAATGTATACATTGCAGGTTTTTTTTTAGTTGATAGAAAATCATCCAACTTGTGTTTTTATTTTGATTTTTCTTTAAGTGAACAATGTGGACTACTGCATATAGATGACATTTTTACAGTGTACCATACAGTAAAGATGCTGCCTGGTGTGCTTCTCACTGTTTTCTTCCTAACAACCTTTAGATATTGTCGCACTCCTTTTGGTTGATGCGAAGGAAAGATGATATTCATTGTGAAATGGTTTTGCTCATAATGTATCTTTATTATCTGTTATTCCAGGATGTATATTACCTTCTTTCAAGTAAAGGTTAAGTGCTTTGCATTAAACCACAGCCATGTTGTCCCTTTTTGTGAGGTGTTGCGCTGACTCGTCTGAAGTGTGTTTATGACCGGACTCATCCAGCAGTTTAAAAAAACCTTTTCATTGTGTCATTGTATTTATAGGTGAAGTTTTGCAATTCTTGAAGGGAATCTGTTAGGCATCGCTAGATTAATATTACTTTACAGGTACTAGAAAATTTGACAACCATCCATCCATTTTCCTCTACTTATCTGGGGTTGGGTTGCAGGGAAGCAGCCTAAGCAGAGGCCCAGATTTCCCCCTCCCCAGCTAGCCTGGCCTGCCACAGATGGCAAATCTGGATATTCGGGGGCAGAGAGCACCATGAGGGGTGGGTCTAACCATCTCAAAAATAACCAATCAGATAAAAGGCGGAAATGATGACTTGCCCAATGCCATAGTTTTTTTTAGATGGCGTCTGGTAATGGCACACACATCTTCCTTTAGAAGAAAGGATTTTAGCACTTGTGGTTTTAAAGACATATCCAAGTCGAGCAGAGGAAAGCCATCTTTGATGTTTACGAGAAAAAATGCTGCATGTGTGATGTACGCTGCTCAGCGCCGACTGGCTCGATTACAATTCTCGGGGTTGGGTTATTTCAATGGTAGCGTTGCAGGCCCTTTGCAGGAAGCGTTGGCATGGCTAGCCAGGCTGGTCCCAAGCCACTTGAGCCAGCTTCCGGGAAATCCCAAAGTGTCCACTGGCCAACTGAGAAACTGCGTCTCCTGCACGTCCTTTCCTTTTCTGCTGCACTCTCTTTGTGCCTTTCCCCTATGCTTGCACTCTTTCTACAGTCATCCCATGGAGTTCTTTCCTCATCTGCCATAAACACAAAATGGCTGAAGTTTTTAAGCTTTTCAGATAACGAGATAATAGCTGAGAGCGATAAATGGCTTGCACTTGTACAGCACTCATCTGAGAGGACTCCAAATTACATTTTCACTTTCATCCGTTCACACGCTTATGGTGATGAGCTACATCAACGCCACAGCTTTTTTTACCTAGCGATAGGGGTCATTACCTAACACACGGCAAGCAGCAAGTGGTATTTTTGTGTTAAGACCTTACCAACAGTGGGTCATTAGGGTCAAAAAGCCCAGGGAGCGCAAATATTGAACGACTACTTTGGCAGATCGTTCAACCTCCAGCAAAATGACAAGCACATGAGGCTCCCTTTCATCACTGGCTATGAATGAAGAGGTAAATGTGTAAAATGTTTATGATTTGGTAAAAGTTGTAACCATTTGTTAAAAATCAGTAAATACATGTTGTCCTCCCACGTAATTTTGCCCCCCCCCACACACACACACACACACGCACACACTTTTTCCAAAGTCAAGTTTTGACCCCTGCAATTTTTACCATCCAAAAACAATATTACGCTATATTAAATTGACATTGGTTGAGCTCTAGGACCAAGCGTAAAACAACCGTTCGTGTTGAAGCCTGTTTCCCATTAGAGCATATCGTAAAGATGCCCCTCTTCCCCCACCGTGTCCCGCCCCACCTCTAAAGTGAAAATTACGTCCCTCGCGGGCTCCCATAGAAGAAAGTATGGCATCGCCCAGAGACTTGCCCGCTCCCATTTATTTTAGACCCAGTTTTTATAGGTCAAGGTTACAAAGCCATCCATATTTTTCAACAACTGGGCATCATTTAATTTATTTTCACCAGCATTTGGATGGATATTTCCAGAGATCAGCTGTAAAAACTACACATAGTTACTACATAGGTGTTAACTTTCAGAAATTGAATGCTTTTTTTTATTTATTTGAAAACATGCAGCCACAAAAGTAAAGCCGATGATTTTATCTATTTGTTTAAATGCCTCTAAGCAGTTTCTGTGCAAATATATAAATTAAACTGCAAGATTAAATTATGTCAACATTTAAAACATCGACTGAGTGCAGGACTGTGATTTAAGCTGCTTGTTTTGAAGTAAGATTTTGTCATTTCTATAGAAATTAAGGAGTATTATACAGACCTGATCACTTTCGTTCCTTGTTGTCCGTATTTTTCTTTGTGTTCTTGCTGTGTCGTATCTCAAATTCCATGCTGTAGTTCTTTTTTAAAACACAGAGCAGTTTTGTTTACCTGCTTTCCCGCTACGTTTTGTTTGCGGCTTCAAACTTCCTCAGCGTCAGCCTGAAAGTAGCAGCAAAACAGGTAAACAAAACTGCTCTGTGTTTTAAAAAAGAACTACTGCAAGGCCTGATCACTGGTACACTTCTGTTATTAATTCTATAATTTTAAGATAGACAGTCTACACGGATAACACTTTACAATAAGTAATACATTACTAAGCAGACATCCACCCTGGCCTTTACTCTAACCTTAAGGACACTTAATAGTTAATATTGAAAAAGGTTAATAAAGGGATCCATTGTTTATTAATGCTTAATGATGCACTAAGTAACAGTAATAAAGGTAAGGTAAAGTGCTACCGAGACAAGACAGGTCTAAAAATATTTTTCCATGATCGCTTTGGTGCTCTCTCCAACATGGCGCCACTATGCGTCACATACAGTGCATACCAGCTTTTCACACCACTGTTTACCATTCTTGATTATAACATTTCTTATTTTGTTAAAATTGTTGTTAAACTTTTTCCCCTTCTAACAATTTTCAGATGAGCAGGACATGAAATGCATTCAAATTTACAACGATGATGACCAATTAACTGCAATAAATACATTTTCTTTCAAATATAAATAAAAATCAAGTGTCTAAATCAGTGGTTCCCAATCTGGGGTTTGTGCCCCCCCAAAACAAAGTTTCAATTATGTCCATGGAGCTTACCAAGATATTCTTTGCAAAATTACATTTATAAAATCCCAACAACACATCCATTAGTATAATTGAATCTCTGTATAAGTTACAACTCTGTGTGTCCTTGTAGTTTGTAATTAATCACTTTTATTGTATGGATGGGGGTCCTGGCTTACCTTGGACACAGGCAAGGGTGTTCACAAGGAAAAAAGGTTGGGAACCTCTGGTCTAAACAATAAAAATGCAAGAAGCCTAAACAGTGAAATAACTTTAAGCTAATGGCTGAAGCTTGAAATAGCCATTTCATTTTAATGAAGGCATCATAGTTCAGTTTGGGACCAGCGTTGTTGTAGCAGCGGTCATCTCCTTAGCTTTTAGATGCCAGAAGGTTAGCTTTTAGCCAATCTTGTACAAAAGCATCTCATTCTGCAGATGTAAAAATATTCTTGATCCAAACTCTTTTAACCATGCTGGGAAAAACTTTTGTGTTCGTAAGAAATTATGTATACAGTTACATTACAAACACTCACCTGATGCACATTATTTCTGTAACCACAGAATGAGCAGAAAAAAATCTTGAACCATGTGTGAGCTCTGAAAACAGTAACAGTTTGCATTGTAGTCGGATGATTAAAAAATGAAGTCATTTGAACGTACAGACGTGCTGACTCAGTCAATAAAACTGATGACGTTGAAAGAACAAACTGTCTCCATGGTGTCCTTTGGTTCTAATCATCTGGCCAAACAGGATCCGGTTTACCACCAGAAGTATTATTTTAAAGTTCCCACCCTCCTGTCCAACAATCAGTGCAATAACACTCGCCAGTCACCCACTTAAGCTTATGTAATTATGCACAGAGACATGGTAAACCACTTTAAGAGGCAACAATTCTAAATGATTTAATACTAGATGATGTGCTGACATCCAATAAAAGGTTATTGCACAGAAAATGTACAAACCAAATCCTTTGAACACAACTAGAAAGGCTCTTTGTTCTTTATGTAATTAAAAAGACTATCTGTGTGATTTGTTCTGCTCTTTTTAAACGTATCATCTAAGAAAAATAAATGCTGCGAGGGGGAAGTAATCCAACAGCATCAGGTCAAAATCTGTCCCAGCAGATGCTGAAAAAACAAAACAAAGAACCAGCCAGTTTTGCGTCAGTCCATCGTCACTGCCCGTGCGTTCCTGCAGAACCCTGGAAACCTTGCATCAGGTCATCATCAGGGGCTTCTCCTCTTCTCGTCTGCTAAGCAGGTTTGAAAGCATGAAGGAGGAGAAGAAGGAGAACTCTACGATGTAACTGAGCTCAAACAGCTCCATGTTCATCGTCAGCATCCACTCAAACACAGCAGACAGTTGGTTGTAAAAAGAATTGTTCTGGATGTAGAAAAAAGCATCTGAGGGTCATTGAGTTAAAGGATATATGCATCGACAGTTGGAAAAATACACAAATGGGCCTTTAATTTATATTAACCAAGGCCAATTGCCTTAATTTATAAATCCACTCTTAACTTAAAACCGCAGTAGGAGATATGATGGAGCAGTTCTTGCCTTATGAGAAGCCTCTGCTGGCTGGCAGAGCTGTCTCTCAGTTTGTTGTGTTGTGAGAAGCTGTGTGAGTGAGAGAAGGTTTGGGGCCGGTTCCAGAAGTTCTGACCTGTTATTCGTGGAGGTTGCCCAGATTCTCGGTGGACCTGAGCCGCTGTATTACCTCCTTTTTCACCATAAAAATGCCACATCATATTAGCTAGCATACTAAATAGCTCTACAGTTACGGAGCTGCGTTACCAGGGTTCGAATAACACAGGCTCCTTGGGGAACTCCTGGGGGAGTATCTGTCCAAACTCTGTAAAATGGGGGAGGGGGGTCTGAGCTGGTTCTTTAGGCTCAGCTCACCAAAAAGAGCCGGCTCTTTCGGCTCCCAAGTGGCTCCTCAGATTTTCTGTTGCGTAGAGTACATTTATAATCAAAATAATGCAAAACTATGTGTAAAATGATTTACTAATGTAAAAAATGCTATATATCAAATATTTATCATTTCTATGGATTTATTAACTGAACACTAAGAAATCTCCACTTTCCGACTGCTGTTGTTCATTTTCTCACCGTCTTCGTCGCACTCTCCTCACTCTTGCATGCCTTTTTCTTCCACCTCATTCCCTCTCGTCTCCCTCCACCCGCATGTGCCCTGCTGTGTGTCTGAGTCTGATCCTCTCTCTTCCCCGCCCCTACTGCTCTGTGTGTGGACAGTCTGGACACGCAGTTACACATGTTGTTTGGTCACCTGTAGCTTTGACCAAGGGGGGGGGGCTCCCAATGACGAGCCGGCTCACGTCGTTCACTTCAAAGAGCCGGCTCTTAGAGCCGGTTCGTTCGCGACAGACACATCACTACTTGGTGTGTCATTTGACGGTTTTTGAGGGGAGCTTATTACCCTTTTAGGGGAGCCAGGCTTCCCTTAGCTCCCTGATATTCTAAAGCCTAGTTTATGCTTCTGCGTCAGCTCCACGAGGAACACACACACACACACACACACACGTTTTGCCTTCTGACTTCACGTCACCTGGGGAGTGTTGAAAAGCAATTCCTGGCCAGGATACGAGAGGGTGTAGCGTTGTTCTGGGGTACCCTGTCATGTGTCCCATCCAAGATGGTGTATTTATATTGTGTTTTTTTGTATTTCAGAGACTTTTTAACGGGAGAAATATGTCCCTCCTTCACCTCCTGATCACGCGCTCGCCACCTCTAAACCCACGTTTCCTGTCATTTCCATCCACGAATAAAACTCTTGCTGCATATATTTATGCTCCTTCAATCACGGGTGAATAAAGCGTTCAAATTTTTAGAGTTTTTCCGCAAAGTATTATTTAATCGTCTCTTAATTTTTTGAGCGTGCAACGGCGGAGCTGATGACAAATTTAAAAGAAGTGCCGTCCTGACCAATCACTAGCTTGCACTCTCCGTCTCGTTCGACCGATGATTAGAAAAGTAGGCTTGACTCCGTCCGATCGTGCATGCCTGTTGAAGAGCCCTCCCAACGATGGATAGTGGCGTTGCGTGTCTCCGTACCGACACAGACTCAGAAGCATAAACCAGGCTTAACCATGTGCATTACATTAGAAACAATGGCAGAAAAGGTGCCAGCAATGGGTTCAATGTAAAACGGAACCCTCTGGAATAAGCATTGCAAGGTCCTGTGTTCTGGATGCTCAGCTAAGGGGGTGGAGCTTAAAAAAAGGGGGTTGGACTTTTGGATTTGGTATTTTCAAAAAAGTTTGGTTGAACAGCAACAAAAACATCTCATATTCTACCTTTAAAGCTGATTTGTGACTATAGAAGGGAAAAGTAAACAATGACAGCTGTTAAATATTAATCAGGGTAAATTATTACACTATCTTTGTTTTTTGTGGTCAGTCCCACTTAGTAAACAGAGCAGCAGAATCACAGAACTGTAAAACGCCGAGAGACTCAAGTCCACTCCTGGAAGGCATGAGCTTTTCTGAAAGGATACAGAAGATCGTCGCAAAGATTTGAATCACTGTAGAGATGAATCTCAGCGGGTAGAGAACCTTCTCATGTCCAGTCAGATCACACTTCCTCGTCAGTTCCGTGAGCAGGACGGCGTAGAAGGAGACGCACACGAAACTGACCCCAGCTCCGAGGAAGTGCAGGAGGGTCAGGGTGCCTGCCTGGACAGGGAGAGGACATAGTTATTATCAGATCTGTGTATGCATGCAAAGATAAAATGTTAGGTCTTCTGGAGATGAAATAAGGTTTTTTATAGATATAAATTATTTTTGTTGAGGAAAAAGTGGGACCAATTGTAAATGTTGCAAACTGATCTGATAACTTTCACTCTGCAATGTTGAAGGAAACATAAAATAAACAGTGACACTCTTTTTATTTGCTGCGAGGGCAATGAAAACTGACCTGTTTGTAACATTTATTTCTGTTTATACTACAGAGTAAGGTTTAATCCGGGTCAAAAACAAATCATTTTGCACATAACAGTCAGAAACTCACATTGCAGTTTCCTGCTGCGAATGACCCGAAGGCAGACACCACTCCAAAGGCCAGAGCAAATTTGCTCAACATGGAGTGGCACGTTTGTTTTTCCAGCACATGAGCGTGATGAAAAATGCAGAACAGCAGAACTAAAACAAGAAATCACAGCTGATTTGACACTTGGAAGCAGACAGCGTGAGTGATGGGCTTGATGATTCACAGGAGAACTCACACAGAAAGGATCCGGCGTTGAGCGTGGCTGAGAACAGTGAGCTCTCTGGTGCAAACATTCCACTTGAACTGGAATCACGGGATTTGCTTGATTATTTACTGTTTGATTCATGTAATTGGAAAATGACTCCTGCCATCACACCATTTACCTGATTGTGGGAGTGAAGCAACAGCTTTGGGTCGCATTCTCTCTGCAGCGGGTAGCACCACTCCTGAAATAACAGAGAGATAGTGTTGAGATATTTTTCAAAATAAAACCCATTTCAAAGATGAGACAAAACTCACCAGTCGCTGAGAGGACACACGTGATTGTTGGACAAGGCCAGACCATATCTGAAAATGAAAAGTGCAGAAATAAAATAAAAATCTAGCGTTAAAATGTAAACTTTAATCTAGTTTAACCTTTAGAATGGAGTTTTCCATTTCAAAATAAAAGCAGGCTTGACAACTAAAGACAACAACAGATTTACCACTGGGAATCCCAACATGACAGAAAGTCAAAACAAAAAGAAACCACCTATAGTGACGCAAATGATATCTCTCTTTCCAGAGAGCACACCCTGCAGCCAAAAAGCCAGCCTGGTCACATACTTCGAGGCTCCCAACTGTCACACCATCAGTGTTTTATGTGTTTATAATTCTGATTTAACAAGAAACACTGTCAGCTAATTATCCACTTGTCTCACAATGTGAACAAAGTTTGTCACATTTTAGAACGTAAAAATGATAAACTTACACGCTCCATGTTCCTATGAAGGATACCAGAAACAATGTGATGGGTAGAATAATCCAGAACACCATGATGAAGATGAGGACTACAATTCCAGCAAGGTTTCCTTGTGTCCAAATGTCTCCGTCTTTGTTTGTGGTGTCAGCACCAACTCCACAAGGGCAAATGCAGCTCCATCTTTAAGAAATGAATGTCAGCTGCTGTTGTTAATGTAGTCCTCCACCATGAAGAGGATATACCTGCTTGTGTCCAGTCTCTCCAGTCTTTCTGCCACTCCCACTAAGCACCACCTTGTTCTTTCAGAAGTCACGTAAGGGATGGTCTCTGACATAATTCAGTTGTTTGTTTTATGCCAAACACTGTTCTTGTTCTTCTTATGACTCAGAATTTGTGCCTCACCAAGAATTTTAAAACGTTGACGGGGAGAATGGTTATGTCATATCTGAACTTGAAGATCTGGTCAAGTCGTTGAGTGTGACAGGGTTCTCATTTGTTCCTCAGTGGTCGGAAATAACTTATTAACAGACTATACTTTGATTTATTTAAAATATTCACCACACATTATGCGTTGAAAATTTTTTTTAGGTTGTAACGTAACCGTTTCTACACTAATATGATGAAACAGTAAAACATGACATGAAAATAATGGATCAACATTCTATAAATGTGTCATGTCTGTCTGTCTGTCTGTCATCTATACACTCACCTGAAGGATTGTTAGGAGCACCACAGTAATACGGTGTTTGACCCCCTTTCACCTTCAGAACTGCCTTAATTCTATGTGGCGTTGATTCAACAGGGTGCTGAAAGCATCCTTTAGAAATGTTGGCCCATGTTGACAGGACAGCATCTTGCAGCTGATGGAGATGTGTGGGATGCACATCCAGGGCACGAAGCTTCTGTTCCACCACATCCCAAAGATGCTCTATCGGGTTAAGATCTGGTGACTGTGGGTCCGTTGTAGTACAGTCAACTCATCGTCATGTTCAAGAAACCAATAAGAAATGACTGGAGCTTTATGACATGGCGCATTATCCTGCTGGAAGTAGCCATCAGAGGATGGGTACATGGTGGTCATGAAGGGATGGACATGGTCAGAAACAATGCTCAGGTAGCCCGTGGCATTTAAACCATGCCCAATTAGCACTAAGGGGCCTAAAGTGTGCAAAGAAGACATCCCCCACACCATTACACCACCAGCCTGCACAGTGGTAACAAGACATGATGGATCCATGTTCTCATTCTGTTTACACCAAATTCTGACTCTACCATTTGAATGTCTCAACAAAAATCGAGACTCACCAGACCAGACAACATTTTTCCAGTCGTCAACAGTCCAATTTTGGTGAGCTTGTGCAAACTGTAGCCTCTTTTTCCTATTTGCAGTGGCGATGAGTGGTACCCGGTGGGGTCTTGGTTTCTCCTCCTGTTCCCTCCATAAGTGGTTTTTATTAACACCGTGGATCTAACTCTGCTAATTTACGTCCACTAACTCCAGCTGTTTCTGTAGTTTCTGATTCCTCCACCTCACTCAGAATGGCTCTATTAAATACCCGCTCTGTTAACAATAAGATCTTCCTGCTCAATGATCTAATTCTGTCTAAAAACCTGGATTTTCTGTTTCTGACTGAAGTTTGGCAGCAAACATCTGATTATTCTGCTCTGATTGAACTTTGCCCAAGTGGTTATTCTTTTCTTAGCCAGCCTCGGGGTTCTGGTTGTGGTGGAGGCCTAGCAGTTCAAAGGAAGGATTGCTTCCTTTGAACTGCAGCTGATTAAAGTCGGGCGTAAGAACCCGTTCTACTGTGCTGTGGTCTATCGTCCACCTGGTCCAAACAGCTCTTTCCTTCAGGAGTTTAGTGACTTTCTATCCTCCACTGTGAAGCTGTCCAGACTGGTGATTGTGGGTGACTTTAACATCCACGTTGATGATCCCTCTGATCACTTTGCCATGAATTTCTCCAGCCTTATGGACACCTTCGGCTTTACCCAGCATGTTTCTGGCCCCACACACACCAGGGGGCACACTCTAGACCTTGTTTTTACCCTAAGTCTAAATGCTGACAGTGATTGTCCTGAGGACGTTTATATTTCAGATCACCACTGCATTTTCTTTAACTTGTCAGTTTCTGCGTCCCCACCTCCTGCTCGCACTATGGTTAGTTCTCGTTTTCTTAATGAGAGCACAGCTAGCAATTTTTCTGCTGCTTTTGATCCACCCTGTTCTTCTGATACCGACCCAGATTCCTTAACTTCTCAGTTTAACGAGCACTGCCTCTCCATTCTGAACAACATCTGTCCTGTCAGAACCAGATCAGTTCCTGCAGTGAACCCTACTCCCTGGTTTAATGACAGCCTTCGCAGCCTGAAGCGCCAATGCAGAAAAATTGAGCGCTTGTGGAAGAAAACCCATCTCCACGTCCATCTGCTGCACCTAAAGGATCTTCTGACATCCTTTAACTCTGCAGTCAGAGACGCGAGGGTTTCCTATTTCTCCAACCTGGTGTCCCAGAGCAAAGAGAACCCCAATGTGCTGTTTAACACCATCAGCAGCATCGTCTCTCCTGCCTCTCCTACAGCCTCCATCCACTCTGTTGCAGGCTGTGAGAACTTTCTGTCTTTCTTTGTGGACAGAGTCAATTAGGTTAGATCTAGCATCTCTCCTTCAGCCTTATCGCTGCCTCTCCCGACTCCAACCAGGCCCATCATCCTAGATAGCTTTGCTCCTGTTTCTTTGCCTGAGTTAACCAAACTAGTTAACTCTATGAAGACCTCTGCATGCCCCCTCGACATATTACCCTCATCTTTGTTTAAAAATGCTTTTCAGTCCATCGGTCCCAGCGTGCTCTCTATAATTAATGCTTCTCTGGTTTCTGGTCAGGTCCCTGCTTACTTTAAGAACGCTGTAATCCACCTGCTTCTTTAAAAAACGAGTCTTGACCCCTCTCTTCATAGCAGCGTCAGACCCATCTCTAAACTTCCGTTCATCTCCAAGATCTTGGAAAAGGTTGTGGCTAAACAACTCACAGCTGCTCTTGATGAACAGAACATCTATGATTGCTTCCAGTCAGGTTTTCGTAGAGCTCATTCTACTGAAACAGCTCTTCTTAGGGTCTCTAATGACCTTCTGAATCACAGTGATGCAGGGGACTGTTCTGTTCTGGTCCTGTTGGACCTGACTGCAGCCTTTGACACTGTTGACCATCACCTGCTACTGGAGAGGCTGAGACACTGGGTAGGCCTATCAGGATCTGCTCTGGAGTGGTTCTCCTCTTATCTCTCTGAGCACTCCTTTTCTGTGGCCGTCTCCAAGTTTAGGTCCTCCACCACCTCTCTTACCCGCGGTGTCCCACAAGGTTCTGTGCTGGGGCCTCAGCTCTTCCTCCTCTATCTGCTTCCTCTTCAGCACATCCTGAGCTCCTTCAAAGGAATCTCCTACCATCTTTATGCAAATGACATCCAACTGTACATCTCCTTTAAGCCCCATGAGATGTCTAAGCTGCAGCTGTTACACAACCTGCTTAGACTCTATCAAAGCCTGGATGGCTGGGAGCTTTCTACAGCTGACTGAAGATAAGACTGAGATCCTCATCTGTGCCCCCAGACAAGCTGGTTCCCAAAGTCAGAGACTCTCTTGGTCAGCTTGCTTTCCACACCAAACCTTCTGTCAGGAATCTTGGCATGACCTTTGACCCAGCTCTCACCCTGGATTCTCATGTCAGTTCTCTTCCTTCTTCCATCTCAGGAACATTGCTAAGCTGAGTCCCATTGTGTCCCGCTCTGAACTTGAGACAGTTCTCCACACCTTCATCTCCTCACGCTTAGACTACTGTAACTCTCTTTTCACGTGTCTGAGCAGAACCTCCCTGAACCGTCTACAGGTGGTTCAGAACGCCTGTGCTCGGCTTCTGACCAAGTCCTCCAAACACACCCACATCACCCCGCTTCTCCTCCAGCTTCACTGGCTGCCAGTCAACTTCAGGGTTCATTTCTAGATCCTGGTTCTGGTCTATAGGACCTTACATGGACAAGCACCATCTTACATTGGTGATCTTCATAGTCCCTACACCCCCAGCAGGTCCCTGAGGTCCGGTGATCAAAGCCTACTGGTTGTGCAGCACCAGGCTAAAGACCAAAGGTGACAGATCAGTTGCTGCTGTGGCCCTCAGACTCTGGAACTCTCTCCCCCTGAGCCTGAGATCAGTGGACTCAGTGGACTCCTTTAAAAAGCAGCTGAAGACTCACTTGTTCAAGCTGGCTTTTGTATGACCTTCTTCAACCCCTCTTTCTTTATTCTGCTCTCCCCACCTATTCCACCTTCCTCAGGATCCACTGATTTCCCTCTTTCCGATTCACTCTCTCTCTTTCTTAACATTTATTCTTTTAAATTGCAATTGCTCATTTTTGCTCTTTTTAAATATATTTTTAAACATTTTCGAAATGCTTTTTTATATTTTTACATTTTTTTAAATATTTTTTGTTTTTGTGAAGCGCCTCGTGATTTTTATCTTGAGAGGCGCTATAGAAATGATATTTTCTTCTTCTTCTGCTGTTGTAGCCCATCCGCCTCAAGGTTGTGCGTGTTGTGGCTTCACAAATGCTTTGCAGCATTCCTCGGTTGTGACGAGTGGCTATTTTAGTCAAAGTTGCTCTTCTATCAGCTTGAATCAGTCGGCCCATTCTCCTCTGACCTCTAGCATCAACAAGGCATTTTTGCCCACAGGACTGCCGCATACCGGAAGGTTTTCCCTTTTCACACCATTCTTTGTAAACCCAAATGGTGTATATGTGTGTATATATATATATATATATATATATATATATATATATATATATACACACTTGCTTTTTATATGTTTCTGTATATGACTTAATTGAAGCAAGGAAATGTAATTTACTTAATAAATGATGAATAAATTATATATAATGGTCCAGGTAAACTGGATCTGAGGGGCAGGGATATGTGATCTACGTGACCTTACGTGACTTTACGTGACGTTGACGACAAGGGGTCCTTCTCGAATTCAAAACAACCAAAATGGCGGCGCACGTGAGATGGGGACTTGTGCAGTTGTTCCGAACACGAAATACAGCCCTCTATAGGTTTGTTTGGTTTTTATTCCTATCTGGCATAGTTTATTCGATCTTTAATGGAAAATATTTGATGAGGTGTGATGCTTGTGAAACACGTAAAATTACGTTTTTTGCCGTTATGAAGGATAAACTAAGCTAGCTAGCTGCCAAACAACAAAGGATCCGTTAAACACAGATTATCACCTGGACACGGCTAAATGTTTAAAAATACGCGCAAATTTACATTTTATTCATAAAGTATTTGGCTACATGTGCTTATTTGAGTGTCCAGATCGTTTAACTCGTCTGTTAACATCAGCTAACGCATATAGGATTTAATTTATCAGAATATTCAGTGATAGTCTTATTACTTCGTCACGATGTAGACTCCTGCTTTAAAACTCGGATATTTTAAGCATCAACATTCTTTAGTTTGTGGTATTCCTTTCGTTAAATGATGATTACGTTATGTTTAGGTTCCCAGAACATCTCAGAAGTTATCACTGGTCGCGATTCACGACCCAGAACTTCAGAGGAGTCCAGTCCCAGCCTGGGACTGGAGCCTCAAACTGCTTCAGTAAGAAACAACACAAGTCCCATTATTCCACCACACAGACTGACAACGTTATTACCAAGTAGCTGGTTTTGTGGTGTCTTTCAGCATCCATCCAGACTGAAGATACTCCTAACCCGAGAAGTCTGAAGTTCCTCCCTGGGAAAGCTGTGCTAGGAAGTGGGACACTCGACTTTCCATCTTCAAGCACTGCTGGATGTTCATCCTTAGCCAGGTTTTGGGACAAATACTTACTTGTATACTTTATGTACATGAGGGCAGAAAGACAGTCTCAGAAAATAGACTGAGCTCAGCTTTGAAAGACATGTAGAAGTATTAATGAATAAACAACAAATACTTACAAACAAATTCAGTGTATATGTTATTTAGTACAGCATATAATGTAATAATTACAAATTTTAATTGTGCATTATTAATCTGAGTGCAGCCGTATAGCATTTACTAATTTTTATCTTTGTATTATTTTGGAAAAATCAATTTCTATTGTTTTGGAGATAAGAGGAGAACCACTCCAGAGTGTTAGATGTGTGTGGGTGTATGCACTTGCACACTAAATGCATGTCCTAAAATAAAAGGTTAAAGGGGTCATATTTGTGGCTTCTTCCCTGTTTACAAATACCAGAAAGAAACAACGCTTCATTTATTTTAATCCATGCTGCTGTCTCTAAATTGTGTGTTTTTTTTTTTATCTTTGTGTTTTTTAGGGATCTGTTTGAAATTGAAGGGGTGAAAAGTGTCTTCTTTGGCCCTGATTTTATCACAGTCACTAAAGTAAGCACTAGATGCAGTCACACGACGTGTATCTGTGATATTATTTTCATGATATCTCTGTAACTAGAGATAACTTGTGAGGTGTTTTCCTTACCAGACAGATGAGGATGTGGACTGGACTGACATTAAGCGTCATGCTGTAGATGCAATCGCTAAGTTCTTTGAGAGTGGTGACCCGGTAACTACAGGAGCAGTGCACCATGAAAGCAGTAAGCAGTGTGGTTTGATTCAGATTCCTAACTCTGACTTGCATAAATCTTTTCATGTTTTGTGTTTTTTTTTTAATTCTAGGTCATTCTGAAGATGATGATGAAGTTGTGTCTATGATAAAGGAACTTCTAGACACCAGAATAAGGTAAATAAACTTCTCTGATTGTTAATGTCAGTCTGTATTTTGTGTGATTGTGTTTTGAGCTAATTGATCAGGACTCTTTAACTCCCAAGACCCACAGTGCAGGAGGATGGGGGTGACGTCATCTTTAAAGGCTTTGAGAATGGTACAGTCAAGTTGAAGCTGGTTGGGTCCTGCACTGGTTGTCCTAGCTCTACGGTCACGCTGAGAAACGGCATTCAGAACATGATGCAGTTTTATATCCCTGAAGTGGACAAAGTGGAGCAGGTGATTATTATAACTAGTTATTGAAATTAAAGGTACAATAAGTAAGAGTTTTACATTGAAACAATCACAAAACAGTCTAATGTCTCTATCGTGTTGGAGGGAAAGTTACACTGAAACAGATTCCTTTCTTGGCCAGTTGGGTGTTGTCAGTTTTTCTCCTTTTAAAGATCAACTTCACTGAGAAAATGTTATTTAATTACTTCCTGCATTAGCTTCTGATGGAAAATAGACAGTGAAACTCTAGAATGTAAAAATCCTGACAGATCTACATCACACTGTCACTGTCACCCATCTTGACTCACGATGAGGAAGGCTGTTGTTTTAGCGTCCAGGAAATTGCAGAGAATTAGTAGAAGCTAACCATTAGCATTAGCATCTTCACCACATGGCAGAACTCCTCCAGGCTTGTTATTTGTGTAGATAAAACGTCAACGTTGCAAAGCAAACGGAGTCAGTGTTAGAGTTGCGTTGTTAGCCAATCAGAGGTGAGATGTCTAAGTAAGAAAGAATGAAAACAATCTTTTCTATAGCACCTCTCAAGATAAAAATCACAAGGTGCTTCACAAAAACAAAATTTTCTTTTTAATTATTAAAAATATGTTTAAAATGAGAAAATAAATTGTGAGTACAAAAAGAAATGTAAGGAAAGGGAGAGAGAAAATGAATAGGAAAGAGGGATATCGGTGGATCCCGGGAAAGGCGGAATAAGAGCAGAAAAAGGGAGAGTGGTGATGAAGGTCAAGCAAAAGCCGACCTGGACAGGTGAGTTTTCAGCTGCTTTTTGAAGGAGACAAAAGGAATGGTTAGGTTAGGAATCCCTGCTCTCGGCTTCTGACCAAATCTGTTAAAGTACTCCCACATCACCCCGCTTCTCCTCCAGCTTCATTGGTTGCCAGTGAACTTCGGGGTTCATTTCAAGATCCTGGTTCTGGTCTTTAGGGTTTTACATGGACAAGCACCATCTTACAGTGGTGATCTCAGTCCCTACACTCCCAGCAGGTCCCTGAGGTCCAGTGATAAAAGCCTACTGGTTGTGCAGCGCACCAGGCTAAAGACCAAGGGTGACAGATAATTTGCTGCTGTGGCCCCCAGACTCCGGAACTCTCTCCTCCTGAGCCTGAGATCAGAGGACTCAGTGGTCTCCTTTAAAAAGCAGCTAAAAACTTACCTGTTCAAGCTGGTTTGGGCGTGTTCTTCATCATCACCCTCTCCTCGTTCTGCTCTTTTTCCGCCTTTCCCGGGATCCACTGATTTCCCTCTTTCCTTCTCATTTTCTCTTTCCCTTTTCTTAATTTTTTAATCACAATTTTTGTCTCATTTTAACAATGTTTTTAAATCATTAAAAAAAATTTTTTATATTAAACTTTTTTTTTGTTCTTGTAAAGCGCCTCGTGATTTTTATATTGAGAGGCGCTATATAAAAGAGTGTTTTCTTTCTTTTGACCACTGCAAGTGTAATAAAAATATGAGTAAAGTTGATCTTTAAAAAGGCCAAAGAGGGACGTAATGTTTGTTTACTATCTGTGAGCCTGCTGGGTTTCTGAGTCTGCGCCAGCTAATGCTGCAGCACCGGCATTTGTAATTCGACACCCGCCAGCAAAACGCTCCAGAGTTATGGACAGCATGTTACCAGCCCAGAGGTTATTTCTTGCACTCCTATGAAGCCACGGCATCCTTTTGTTTTATTCTAGTATCAGGTAAAAAAGTCTAGAGGCTAGCATTGAGCCAACATTGCTAACAAAGAATTAGAAACAATTAGTTGGATCTAAATAAAACTCAAGCTACTTTTTAAATGACCAACAACAAAATATTACAGTGAAAAGTATTTATCTACTTTTTAACTTACTGTGGATGACTCGTCTTCACTCGTCATCCAGAATCTTCTGGTGCTGATCCATAGCAGCAGCCATGAAACTCGAGACACAGGAGTAGGGGGGTTACGTGCTTATTTTGAAAATGGGCTACAGCAGGGGTGGGCAATTATTTTTTCCATGGGGCCACATGAGAAACAGAAAATATTGTGGAGGGCCAGGGCAAAAGGCTGAAGTCAATTATGCATAATATTAATGGTATTTCTTTATAAAAAGCAGTAAATACCATTGTTTTTTCAAGCTGGTAAGAGTAGACTATATGTTATAAATGAGCAAAAAGGAAAAAGTGAGGTTGGCTTACAAAAATGTGATTTATTCAAATTTCCCAAGGCAATGGTAAACAAAGTGCGCACATTTGGTTTTTGTTAAACATTTGTGACTTATATTAGTTAACAGTTTCAGTCACATTCACTGCAAAACACATTCTGAGTTTCAAATATTGTTGGAAAGAGGTTCTTAGCATTCTACAGACACACAGTATCGTCTGTAAAATAAAATCACTGAACTGTGATCTTGAGAAAGAGGTTTAAAAAAAAGTGTCCCAGTTCACTGCTAGTTGCCTACATTTGTGGTCCAAACACCTTATTTTGTGTTTTTAAGCAATTTTTTTCTTATTCAGTGAGAGAAATCTAGTCTCTGCTGGGCTTTAGCGAGTGCATCAAAGTCAGGTTGAATGTCTGAGGTGGAGAAGCGAAGCACAGCTGACTAATGATCATCAGTGAGAGAGGATCTTTACCTGGATTTTGTAAACTTCATCATTGAAAATGTTTGTTCACAAATGTAGGTAGAGCCGAAGAGAACCAACATCTTCTGAGCATGTCTCCTCAGGTTTGGAAAGTCCTCCTTAAGAGAAGAGTAGAAATCCAGCAGAGATCCTGAATCTCTGCTTTCAAGTCCCAAACCCTCTTCAGCACTTTCCCCAGGCTGAGCCATCTGACAGCTGTGTGGAGTCCTCCACAAGAGCCACAAACTGTCTGTGATTCATCGCCCGTGCCCTGATGAAGTTTATTATTTTAGTAACAACATCAGCAACATGGTTGATTTTTAGCACTGACTTGCACAACACATGTTGGTGTATAATTCAGTGCAAAAACACCTATTTTTGATCTGCATCGATTTCTGTCACTTTATCTTGCATGCGTTTCAAAAGTCCGACATTTTTCCCTGTAAGATTTGGACAACCGTCTGTTGTGACACCTGACAGTCTCTCCCATTTCAATCCCAGAGTGTCCATGCACGCATTTACCTCTGTAGAAACATCACTCCCTGTCGTTGTCCCTTTCATCGACCGCATTGCTGCCCGCTCCTCTGTGAGCTCCGTTATCCCCCGGACAAATACGAGCAGCTGGGCTGTGTCCCGGACATCACAGCTCTCGTCTAATGAGAAAAAGTCAAAACTTGCCACTTCACGTTGCAGCTGAAGCTCCAGGTTCCCCGCAATGTCCTCGATCCTCCTGGTCACGGTTCGCCTGGACAGCGGGATTTGCTCAAATGTGCCTTTTTTTCAGGGCATATTAGTGCGGCAGAGTCCACCACTCTGTGCACTCTGACAAACTCTCCCTCCGAAAACGGCTTGCTGTTTTTAGCTATTTTGTGGGATTTCACAAAGCTGGTCCTGGTTGCTGCATCCCTGGATGTGTGAAGCTTAGTAAAAAAGCCTTGCTGCTTTTGCAACTTTGCTAGCAAAGCTTCGGATGTCCGTGCCCTCTCAGCATCAGACAAGTTCTTGTATTTTTCCGAGTGTTTCTTGTCGTAATGCCGACTCAAATTGTAGTCCTTGAACACGGCAATCTCCTCCCCGCAAACCAAACACACGGCTTTACCTCCGACTTCAGTAAAAAAAAAATACTTAGCAGTCCAATTTTTGTTGAAAATCCTGCATTCGGCATCTTTCTTTCTTTCTTTCTTTTTTTTCATGAGCGGACATTTCTCGGGCTACAATCACCATGTCAACCGCGGGCACTTGTTGCTATACGTATTGCGTCATTGTGCACGTAAAAAACAACTTCAAAATAAAAGCAATGCAGCCTTAGCCCATGCATGAGGTAAAATGAGAAAATACATTTATTTTGTAATTTCCATTTAACCTTACGCGGGCCGGTCAAAGTCAACCAAAGGGCCGTATGTGGCCCGCGGGCCGTAAAATGCCCAGGTCTGGGCTACAGTAACCAAATTTGACTGCAGGATGTCACTGTTACTTCATTCTTACATTATGCACCTTTAATTTCACACTGTTTTACAGAAGAGACGCTTTGTTCTGATTGTTGAATTCTCTGGATTATCCCAAAACAAAACAACAACAATATTAACACCTTTTTTTCTAATATTTCCTTTACTCAGGTGGAAGATGAAGTGGATCAAGTCAGTGCAAAGGTTTTTGCTGAAGTGGAGCGCAAATTACAAGAATAAGATCCTTCATGTATAAGAAACTACATACTGTAGCTGTGTTATTACTGCTCACGGTCATAATATGTCAAAGACAGAACTATTTCACACTTTCTTCCCTCCATGATATAAATCTCCAACTGTAATTTACATGTACATACTTTATGTCCCTGTTTTATATAGAAAAAGACTATACTATACACAGAATATGCAGTAATTGTTTTGATCTAAATCATTGTTTTCTGATGTAAATTGTGTTTTATTTATTTCTCAATGTATATTCAGAAAGAATATTGTCTTAAGCTGGAGATTTCATGAAAGATCATGATGACGGTTAAGATTTGAACGTTATCCTACTTCCTTCTGTGTTACACTTCACTAAACAAAACTTTTTCACTCAAGACTTTTGGTTTAAGTGGCTGGATTTTTTTTCATCAAGTGGAACTAAATTCAGTGTTATATTTTAGGGCATGTTAACGTGTTACAATGTGCTGGTATCCACTCTAGATTGACTGTAAAGCATTAAAGATCAAAGTTCAACACCGTCTGTCTTTACTGCTCAGAGCTTGGGAACAAAATGAACTGACAATATGAAAACCTCAAATGAAAAATTTGAATGAGATAATTGACTATCAGGCTAATTAAGGCATAGCTCAGTTGAAATTTACTAAGAAATTAGTTTTGAAAATTGTGAGAGACTAGATGTCTGGCTGCTTTTTGCTCATAGTTTTAATTGCAGAACTGAGGAGTTGCACACAGGAGTGAACCTTTCTAGAATGTAAAGTGCTGTGTAAAAGATTTTAAATCAAATTTTTGTTTTTGATCATTGATTTTGAGAAAGAAAATTTTTAAAAATACAATTAGGATTAAGTGGTTATTTGTAAGCAAAACATGAAGAAATATCTAAGGGCTGGTGATAAAATAAAATTGAGTTTGACAATAAATCTATAAATATCTAATGTTTTTATTTATTTATTGGAATTATCTGAATTTGTAAACTTTGACACTTTTGTAAAGTGAATTTTGCTTCCCTGCTTTTACTGACCGCATGGCTATCTGCCTTGCGCATGCGCACTTCTCACCTTGACTCGACTGGGGCACAACGGTGAGTGTTGACAAATCTTTTATTTATTTAACCTTTTTAAGTTTGTTCAGATTTGTTTGTAAAACGGAATTTCTTTTATTCTGACATTAAAAATATGTTTCTATTTTAGCTGTGCTTTAAAAAATCATTTTACCCTTGCTTTTTACAGCTAACTGCAGAACGTCTGTAGGCCTCGCAGTCGACATCAAAGCAAGATGAGGCTAATCTGGCAACAAAGCTAACGATGTAAAAATGCTAACTGTTAGCCATCTGTTTTAATGGAAGCAGTGCAGCAGGTTAATGAGTTTATACTTAATCTGTTTTTAAATGATGGCGAGGAAGTGAAAAGTCTAATGAAGTCATAATTTCTTGTAAAAATTTAGATTTAGCTGCTGCTGACTCCAATAATGGCAGCTTTGGTTTGCTGCACAAATGTTTAGCTGCTCGTTTAGCCCATAGCTTTAGCCAAATGTCAGTGAGTGGCTAATGCTAGCTGAACTGTCGAGGTCGCTGCTGTGTCAGCAGCTGTTTTTTGTATGAAAACCTGTAGATAACAGAGAAAAAACGAGTTTACGAAAACAAATGTCTAATCTCTTCATCACGTGGCTTTATTTTGTTAACTTTGGCTAAATGGCGTCAGATTATTGTCAATAACGGAATGGAGTGATGTTATCCAGCTATTTAACTGGTTAATGTGCTTCGTTACATGTGCCATAAAGGAGTCACTGTTTTAATCACCGTTTCTATTGATAAAACACAAGTTTAAAATGCTTATAATAAAAATAAAGCATCGTGGCTTTTAGCAACATCACTATAAATAAGCAACGTAACCGTTAAATCATAAGACATTATCACTTCCTTTGGCGTAAACACAAAAGAACTAGAAATCCTTTTCAATGGAACATGAAAGGATTTGAAAAATAAACGTTTATTTCATGAAAAATAAAATATAATTTATTTGTAAGAAAAATTGGCTAGTCTTAGCCAGATCTAATTATAGACATTTTACACACCCTAGATAACTACTACTATTACTAACACTAACTAGTAGTACTCTATCAAATGAAACTGAGAAAAATAACATGTATGTAATGAATGTGCATGTCCCTGCAGCTGTTATGTTTTATCATCCATTGTCATTAAATAATGAAGTTGTGGAACCAACCTGTTAATTAAGTCCTGGATAAAATGTTTCAGTACATTCAGCGAAATACAACTTTCTGTGCTGTGATGTTTGTTAAGCCTGTCAAAAACAACACAAAGAATCCCTAAATGGATGGGGCAGGGACAATAATAGAGAGAAAAATGAATACTAATGATAAATTAGTGCAGATAAATCGGGGCAGCAGTAGCTCAGGTGGTAGAGCGGGTTGCCTCATGATCGGAGGGTCATGGGTTCGATCCCAGCTCCCGCCAGGGGTATCCTGCTGCTGTGTCCTTGGGCAAGACACTTCACCCAACTTGCCTGTGTTAGTGGTGGTCAGAGGGGCCGACGGCGCCAAATGGCAGCCTCGCCTCTGTCAGACCTCCCCAGGGCGGCTGTGGCTACAAGTAGCTTGCCATCACTAGCAGTGTGTGAATGTGAGAGTGTGTGAAAGCGTCTTTGGGTGTCTTGAAAAGTGCTATATAAGTTCAATGCATTATTATTATTATTATGTTTTTTCCCTTCATGTAGCCATCTGCACAGGCCACTGCTTTGTACTGTAAATAAACCAAACAGGCTGATGAGAAAAACTTGATTTGTTGCAGCAGCAACATCCACTGTTTTCATTGCTAATTGAATAAACAGGTAAAGTGCTTATGACCAGTATTAAAAAACTCTTAAATCATTGGTAGATTGTGACAAACATATTATGAGATAAAACAGTATAGGGCCAGTGTTATTCCTGCTGATTATTTTTGATTAGGTGTTTCATGCTCGAGAGATCTTGTTTTGTTGACATAATATCGTCAGTTCTTCTGTATTTGTCTGTGCCATTTCCTCCCTGCAGACAGCCAGTCATCTGTCTTGTGTTTCACTTTTTTCTTGTTCCAGCAACAGAATCCGTCTGGTGAGCAAGACTGCTCTTAACCGTGAATGAGTCATGGCCCAATTCGGGGGACAGAAAAATCCGCCGTGGGCGTCTCCATTTGCGACCACAGCAGTGTCTCAGCCAGGTCACTCAGGACAGTCTCTTGACCTCAACAGCCTTCACCGTGAGTATGACAAACAAAAGGACTTGGACTGTTCTGTCGTTTTTTTGTGATTCTGTTGTTTCTCTTTCATTGACTGTGATAGTAACTCCAACTCTTAACTGTTGCTGAACTGAATTTAAAGATAAATCAATAATCACTATAAGGAAGTGCAATACAAGGTGCTTATGATAAATACTGTATTGCATTCATACATTGTTTGGTAGTCAAAACTACGCGGACAAAGCGGGTTCAGACAATAGATGGATGGATAGTAAAGGAACTGTTACAGAACAAGTTTTTCAATATAATCAGAATCTGACTCATCTGAACTCATGCAGTAGGAACTAGGAAATATGAAATACTAGAACCAGACACAACTTTAAAATTTTTTTTAATTTTAATTTGATTAAACTGATTTTTTCCTAACGTTGTTGGCATTTTCCCCACACACAGTTAGACAAAACAATGTTGATTAAGGTGTGTGTGTGTGCGAGAGATAGAGAAGGAAAGAGAGAGAGTTAAAATAATTTAAAAAACCCGACCGGAGCAGAGGCAGTGAGCGATGCATGCACGAGCCGTTATCAGCTCTGTCTTGTCAAATGCACCACGTACGTTACGAAAAAAGTTACTTTAAATATTCAACCGAAAAAGAGGCGAGCTGAAGAAAACTAAGGGAAGGAAGCACAGAGAGATCCGTTACTGTGTGTGTGCGTGGATGGGCCGGACTGAGCTGAGCTCCCAGCTGCAGAGTTTTGTGTGGAGGGAGGGGCGGGCGCTCTATGTGACTGGCCAATCACAGAGCGTGAAGACATTCAGTTACCCAAAGAGGATTTTCCTTCAGCACGATTACAGATATTTACGAGTTTTACTCGTTTCATGATTGTATTCGTCAAAAATGCTTTATCCGTACCTCATCCCTAGCTGTAACCACCCTGCCCTGCCTCCTCCTCCTTGCTGCCTGCCGGCTGTGATCACAAGCAACAACAGAGTAGTCCCCGCTGCTTCTTCGGGAAACAGCGCAAAAAAAAAATTTAAATCAATAAAACTTGGGATCTTGTAGGCGTGGCGCTGGGATTTCAGCCATGGCGGACCGCCACGGCTACACCTATGTAAACACTGTTTTACATATGTTTGATTTGTGCTGAGTATTGTATCAGAAGTGAAAAAGTTGCACCGGGACCTCCCTATCAAAGATATCAGGCTTGGAACGGGGAGTTAGATGATATTTTAAATTTCTGAGTAGTTTGACAGGAGCTTTTACTGCATCTACACTTATGGTTGTATCCTTGATTGACATGTATAACTGGAGTCACAGAAATCCCAGCGTTCAATGATAAATATGTAAATGCACATAAAAGGAGCGTTGTAAAAAAAGATACTGATTGTCTGCAAGACAAATACAATGACCAATGAAGAGCTCATCCTATTGTCTGGTCGATAAATTTATCCAAATGCCCAACTTTAAGGTGTGCCACTAGAATCGTGCAAACCTCAGGAGATTATCATGGATGCATACGAGGACTGAGTCTGCAGCCACGGCAACCATTACACTCTATTTCCTTCTACCCTCGTAGCTCTTGGAGTCCAGCAGCCGTCTCTGTTGGGAGCATCTCCTTCTGTTTACTCTCAGCAGTCAGCCCTGGCTGCAGCTACTCTCAGCAACCAATCTGCAGCCAGCTATCAGCTGTCTCAGCAAACTGCTGCGTTGCAGCAGCAGGCGGCGGCGGCGGCTGCAGCCGCAGCAGCGCTACAGCAGGTCAGTCACCGTTATGTTGTCCTAAGCGTGAGCAGCAGGCTGTGCTGTTTTCACCTGGGTGTCATTTCTCCTGTGTGCTCCTCAATGTGCTGCAGTCTCAGATCAACTCAGCGCTCCAACAGTATCAGCAGCAGCAGCAGCAGCAGCAGCAACCTCCCCAGCCACCCCCGCAGCAGCAGCTGTACAATTTACCTCATCCGGTAATCACACACCCAGCACACCTCAGATTTACATTGTTTACTCAAACAACAGCTTGTATTTGTGTTGCTGGAAATGAATTTATTTCTTATAATTCTCAGCTCCCTCAGCCTCAGCAGGCACTGATCTCTCAGGTATGTGAATACAGAACTAGATCACTTCTTTTCATACAAAAATGTCTTTTTTATGTAACATTTCTTTCTGAGAGGTTAAAGGGCGAGTAGATCCTTTTACATTCTTGGTGATCTAATTTTAAGTGAATTTTGTTCAGACGTGTGTCCAGTTTGCAAGTTTTACGTACCTCTACGTGTCCCGCAGCCCCCTGTCCAATTGCCCACAAGCCTGAGCTTGTCCAACCCCCAGCAGACAGCCCAGATCACCGTGTCGTACCCAACGCCACGTTCGAGCCACCAACAGCAGACGCAGCCACAGAAACAGCGAGTCTTCACAGGCGTCGTCAACAAGCTACACGACACGTTTGGTTTTGTAGACGAAGACGTCTTCTTTCAGCTCAGGTGAAGAGTCTGGAATTCCTCGGCTAGTTCTAAATGTGAAATAGAAACTTGAGTTTTCTGAATGTTTATTTGTTTTCCCCAGTGCTGTGAAGGGAAAGACTCCTCAGGTTGGTGATAGGGTTCTAGTGGAAGCTGTGTACAACCCCAATTTGCCCTTCAAGTGGAATGCTCAGCGTATCCAGACGTTACCTCAGCTAGCAAATCAGTCGGTGAGAAAAGTCGGGGTCCGTTACGCATTTGTTTTTCTGCTGTTATTTATGTGGCTTTGTTGATATATGTGAACATTTGATTTACTGACTGTTCTGCAGAAAAATTCATGCAACTAAAATTACAAATTCAGCACGATTTTCATTGACTGGTGTGTTTTCATCCCCTCCAGCATCAGCAGCAACCTCAGCCTCTACCACAAGCTTCTCCACAGCTCGGCAGCCTTTACAATGAGCCGGGGATGCAGCTGCGCTACACGGATATGCACCCGACAGACAACAGACAAAATGTAACAGTCTTATCCTGGAATACACACTTTTTATATCCACATCCCCCCTCGGGTCTCAGATTCTTTTTGGGGTGCAGTTTTAGGAGTTAAAGATCCTTTCAAACATTTTTTTAAATGTTTCCTTTCTCTAGAGCCAGCCCCAGGCGCCTAGCATGATAAAGCCAGCCCCTACCATGCTGCAGTCTCTACCTCCCCCAACCACGTTCAGTGTTCCAGCGCAGGCCCCCCCGCCTTCCCTCCTGCAGGCCCAGCTCTCGGCTGCTTCTCTGACCCCTCTCCTCCAAAACCCTCCTCAGCCTCTGCTTCCACAGCCTCCACCCAAAGGTAATTAGCTTGCATGGTGGTGCTTTATGGTTGAAGTGATGCGTGAGTTAATTCTTTCTTCTCTGCAGCTGTTAAGGCTAGGAAGTTATTACATTCTTAAAAATGTCTTCTTTCCTGCAGACGTTTTTCCTGGTGGTCTACTTCAGGCACCAGTGAGACTTATGCCACAACCACAGCCCATGCGCCGACTCGAGCCTCCGCCTCGTTTCCCCCCCACCCGAAACGATCGAGGGCCCGAGCTCATCCTCCGGTCCAAAGAAGAACGCAGGTAAGAAGACAGTCGCCTGGGATTATCTGAGTATTACATACTGTTGTGGCTGGACTGGCTAAAGATCATTGTTTTTCTGTGGTTTTGCAGTAGAGACAGAGACCGTGAGCGGAGAAGATCGAGAGAGCGCTCACCCACCCGCAAACGCTCACGAGACCGTTCACCGAGACGCGAACGCTCTCCGAGACGGCCTCGCCGAGCAGTTCCCCGCTACACCGTCCAGCTTTCTAAATTCAGCTTAGACGGGTAATTGTTTAATGTGTTTAGGTGGAAATTATTTCTTTTAGGTAGAAAAGTTAAAATTTCAAGGATAACCCTGAACGAATAACCAAAATGTATTTACCGAGTTAATAAATGCTCCTTTTTTAATCCTCCAGCTCTAGCTGTGACTTGATGGAGCTGAGAAGGCGCTACCAGAGTCTCTACATCCCCAGTGACTTCTTTAATGCAGTCTTCACCTGGGTGGATGCCTTCCCGTTTACGAGATCCTTCCAGTTCGGTAATGCCTGTAACTTCCACATTTTGCACAAAGAAGTGGATCCTGTAGTCAAAAACACGGCTGTGCTGGACCCCCCTGATGTCAATCACACCTACAGTGCTAAGGTACAACTACGAGCATATTTCAAACGATTAAACGGTTAAATTTCAGAATCAGAATGAGGTTTATGGTTTGCATGCCAGAAACACAAACAAACAAACAAACAAACAAACATTTGAGCAGATTTACAAGGTGGAACAAAGCTGTGCCAGGATGAGGTTTTTGTCTTTGTCAGGGATGAGGTGGCTGATCAGGCCCATCAAGCAGCCCAGCTGCAGCTGGAGAGGAACTGTTTCTGTATGGTGTGGTTTCTGGTTTGATGATTTGATGGGTGTGACCAGGGTGTGAGGGATCAGCCACAATCTTTCTTGCCTGATTTAAGGTTCTGGAGGTGTGCATGTGTCGTATGGAAGGCAGGTTGCAGCCAGTCACCGTTTCTGCAGATTGGATGACACACTAGACCTCTTTTTATGCCAGGATGTGGAGAGGATGGGCTTGATGGTGGCCGTGTGGAAGTGCACCATGTCCTTTGGCAGGTTGCTGTCTAGGAAACGGCTGAGAACGTCTTGACCAGTAGAAGCTAACCATTAGCATTAGCAACTCACTCACACAGCAGAACTCATTCGGGCTTGTGTTATTTATGGAGATAAAACATCAATGTTAGTCGCATTGCTGTTAGGCAGTCCAAGGCGAGATGGTTTGAAAGACAACTGTAGATTTCACCACACAACCGATTGTTTCAATAGGTTGTAGCTAGGCCAAATATTTACATATATAGGGATGGCTTGCCGGTCTAGTTAGGCTGAGTTATCTCACCAAAAATGAGCCTGATGAGGGTGGTGTCATCAGCAAACTTCAGCAGTTTAACAGACTGGTGGCTGGAGGTGTTTAAAGAGACGAACAGACTGGAAAGGACACAGCCTTGAGGAGATCCTGTGCACTTCCGTTTTCTCACATGTTGCTTCCTGTCAGACAGGAAGTGTGTGATCTACCTGCAGGTGGAGTCAGGCACGTTCAGATGAGACAGCTGGTCTTCCAGCAGGAAGGAGAGCTGGAGTCCAGGTGTTTTGTGCCATGTTAACAGACATGTCAGCTCTGTGGGCAGGGGGTCCGGTAGTGGATCTGTCATAGGTTTAACATGTGAAAGTGTCAGACAACAGGGCAACAGGTCACATTTCATTCTTTCGTCTGGCTTCTGTATCAGTCAGCATAACAACCAGACTGACCTGTTTTCATCAGAATTTCCTGTTTGGACGATGTTTAGTTCTAAAGTCGTCTTCTCCCCTGGTCCAGGTGATGCTGCTCACTAACCCCAGTTTAGAGGAGCTTTACCACAAGTCCTGCGCTCTGGCCGAAGACCCCCAGGAGCTCAGAGACGCCTTCCAGCACCCTGCTAGACTTATTAAGGTACGTCGAACCCTCCCCACCTTAATCACAGTAAACTAAAGTCCTGTTCCACTGCTGAATACTTTTAGTGTGGAAAACCGATCTTAACTGGTGTTGGCTCTCTTAGTGGAGTTTTCTCATTACTAGTGGATCCTCAGAGGTACGACTACAAGTTATTTCTGCTGACGTTTTATTATTTTTTAATCCTTCCTCCTCAAATCTCTTCTCCCGTTTCCTTCTAACCTGTACTCCTCTCCTTTATTCCTATTTCTGTTTGTCTTTTAGTTTTTAGTGGGCATGAGAGGTAAAGATGAGGCCATGGCCATCGGCGGTCACTGGTCTCCCTCTCTGGATGGAGCCGACCCGGAGAAGGACCCAGCAGTCCTTATTAAGACAGCCATACGCTGTTGCAAGGCCCTCACAGGCATAGACCTTAGTCTGTGCACTCAGTGGTAAGCACCGCTCCTCCTAAACCTCATTAATAGTAATTCTACCTTCACACTAAATCTGTGCTGGACTTGTTAAAGCACCTATCTGCTTTTGTATTAATGGTTTTGCAGTCTGTTTATTATTTGTTGTGTTCTGTTTTGGACTTATGTGTGCTGTCGTCTTGGCTTTTTCTGTGACTCTCTGCTCATACACTCAATTTTGTTGGCGATTAAAATAAATGAAAGCAAACCTGTGGCTGGAAGCTGTAGCCCGGACCTGGAGACCTTACCATTACTTTGTTTATTTCACTTATCTTTTGCTTTCCCTGCTCTCTCTGTTAAATATCTTACATATTTAACTGGCTCTCTGTGTCCTGTCGCTTCTCTCTCTAACGTAGTGCATTAAGTACACCCGAGGTTTAAATCTGTAAAATTGGCTGAAACCATAATGGGGATGGTTTAATTTATTTTTATTTTTGGGTGTGATTGATTTATTTGTTGTTGTCTGTACATTCTGAAACTGGCTGGCGTAACCTGTGACAGCAGATGAAGAGCTGCAGACTGGGTCCGTTTGTCTGTGCTGTGTGTTGTGGCCAGAGCAGGGTCGATGTAAAGATTCAGTGACCGAATGGGAGCGAGTAGCTGTAGAAGGCTGGTCCTAGAAAAAGGCTTGCCTTGTTGACTTGTGCCCTGACCAGAATGTTTCTTTCCAATGCACCCTCTTCCTTTGCGACAGGTATCGTTTTGCAGAGATTCGCTATCATCGACCAGAGGAGACACACAAGGGGCGGACAGTCCCCGCTCATGTGGAGACAGTGGTTTTGTTTCTTCCGGATGTTTGGCATTGTCTTCCTACCCGCTCAGAGTGGGAGGTGCTGTCACGGGGACTCCGGGAGCAGCTGGCTGAGAAGCTGTCGGCCGAGCGAAAGGAGGCGGATGGAGAACAGGCACTGAACCGCTAATCCCTCTCTTCTCATTTCCGCTTCTCACAGGAAGGCACAGGAATTACAAAAACAAACAAACAACTCCAGACACACAACAGGCATAACAAACACACACACCTCACCTTCTCATGCACACAAAAGTGAACACAGGCTCCTCCAAATGTCACCTAGACTTCTTCTGTTTACTCTTCCACCTTCCCCCTTTTCCTCTGTTCCTCCATCAGCACCTCCACCTTCCCTCACATCCAGCAGACACACACAGTGGAAGCAGTGAGACAGGTTGTGTTGTGTAGGTTCCTGTCGCAATTGGCAAAACAGCTTCCAGCTCCTTAAGCGGCTCATCGCTGGGTCTTAATCTGGTTGAGTGATTCTTCTGGTTTATCGTTCGTGAAGATTATTCTGCTTGTTGGCTTTTTAAACTGTTTGCAAATTGATTTAACACCAGAATCGATCCAGTGGTCTCATAGTTAACACTGGAATAATGTGCTGGAATCTGTGGAGCCAGTTGTGTTCACATGTCTGTTGTAGAAATGTGTTCCTTTTTATGATTTTCACATCAACAAAAAGAGAACCTCCCCTAAGTCCTTCTTCTTGTCTGTTCTTATGGCTGAACTATACCCTCTCATTTGGACTCTATGTACAATTTGGTTTTTCCAGGGCAGTTGGTTGGACAGATGGCTCCTAACTGACGTAGGTGTATAAAACTCAAACAGCAGAACCCCAGTCGTAGGGCATAGGGCTACCCTGTCCTCACTCCGTTTGGAGGCCAGCCTCAGTTCACCTGATGTACCCACACGCCTTTTCGACACACCTGTCATTGATTTTTACCTTTTTGTGTTCCACAGATTGGTTGATTGGCTGCTGGGAGGCATTTCTATTGTTTTTATTTATTACTTTTTGTACGTAAGAGCTAGAGAGCTTCCCTGTGTACGCTTCAGTAGCAGTGGACTTAAACACAGTCGAGCTCACTAGGACAATGAAAGGCAGATGAGACCTTGCTTCTTGCACGGATCAGCTTTAAAGTTTATCGAAGCCACGAGTCGTGTGCTGACTGTCTGCTATTCCCACCTCTTCTCTCCCTCTGCTTTCCTCTATCTAAATGATTTTCTGTCTAGGAGGAGGAGGAGAAGGACGAAGACGAGTCGAAAGATGTTAGCATCCCTACTCACTGGGCTAAACTCGACCCAAAGTCCATGAAGGTATAACGTTCAACACGAACGGCGATTTATAGAAACCTGAGGTTAAGTGAATGATGAAGGTTTTTGTTTTAGGTAAACGACCTGCGTAAAGAGCTCGACTGTCGCTCGCTGAGCTCAAAGGGGTTGAAATCGCAGCTGATTGCTCGCCTCACCAAGCAGCTGAAGGTGGAGGAGCAGGTGGAGGAGTCTAAGGAACCGGAGAAACCAGAATGCAAAGTCCCAGAGGAGGAGGAGCAGCCTCGGAGCGAAGACGACAGAGAGGTAGGGAGTGTGAGGAGTCTGTGTGACTTTGTTGTGAAAACTTTAATAATTTGATACATGTGACATCAAAGATCTGAGACCTTTGCTTACACAATACTACATGGTGTGTATTTTTAAAGCAAGATTGCATGATCAGCAGTTGCTGTCTAATAAAGACATAAAGACAGTGGTTTTTACATCTAAAATGATCTTTTTGTTTCTGGTAACTTCAGACGAGGATAATTTAAGGTGATTTTAAACAGGTTCTAGAACTACTTTGAGCCTCTATAAAATATGACGCTTTGTTGGGGTTCAAAATGGCTTAAGAGCCCTGATAAATGACCAAACACACCCCATAATGAAGCCCTACAATGAAAACACTTTTGAATAATAAATGAGCAGTTTCCTGATTGGCCGGTTTTCCCCGTATCCAGACACGTCGATAGGAAAGCTATGGAGCTGTCCCGCTTACTTTCAATGTCTGGATATTCCCAGAACATCCCGGAGCGTTACATTTGTGCTCCGACATTGTCCTTTGTTGAATTTCTGTTGTCCAACAAAGACTTTATTTGTAGCTTGGGCTAACATTAATGGTAGCTCAGGCTAGCAACAAACAGTAGCTAGTGCTAGCGTTGTTCTGCGATTAGCATTACTGCCATCAACATTATATATTATTGATGCTGAATTGTGTTGCGACATGCAGATTTAATGGGCGTGTCTATGCCTTTGACACATTGTCGCAGCTATTTACATAGGAAAGCAGGTGATAGACGGTGTCGGTACAAGATCTGCTCGGGTGCAAAATTGGCTCGGGGTCCATCGACTGCCGATGACGTCTAAGTAGTTGATTGGTTGAAAATGAACCGTACGGAATTACGTAATCACGTTACGTTGGTCCAGGCAAATCTTTCTGTTGGAAAGATGGACAACTTTTACAAAGAAATCCATCATTACCTCTTCGAAAATACACTTTTAGCATAGAGCTGCATGTATATTAGGGCTGAACGATTACTGCATGTGCAATTAAATTGCGATGTGACAAAAGGAGATTTTCTAATCGCAAAGGCTGCAATTTGGCAGCGAGTGGTTAGCGCAATGCTAATATACATGGAAAAACCCATAGGAATGCTAATGCTAATATCGCCGATTACAGTATTACAAATTATGAATTAGAAACGTGCCAAATGATTACATTTGGAGTCTAATAGAAAGTAAAACTACCATCAATCAAATAAGTACAGACAGGTATTTTAGTAAAGCCAGAAAACTTTTAACTCCAGAGTTTTGGCTAGCAGCTATGAGCGTACCTGAACTACACATGGACAAGACGTCAAAAACTGTAAACACAAAATACTTCAATAAACGGGACACACTTCTTTCCTGCAAATACAATTTCACAGGTGTTGCTAATACCTATGATCCTTCAAGGGATGTGCTCAAAGAGGAGTTCAACATTATGAATAAAATCTAGTGTTTTATTTTACAAATACCATTATAAACACAAACTTACGTCTTAATAAACATTATTTTAATAACAAAACTGCTAAATTCTTTCCAAGAGTATAGATGTGTAGTGTATTTTGTCCGAGTGGGTTTGCCGTACTTTGACGTCATCGGCAGTCGAAGGACCCCGAGCCGATTTTGCACCCGAGCAGATCCTGTACCGACACCGGCATGGACTTTCTGATGTGCTACATTAGACTCCTCAAGCTGCCTATATGCAACCCCAAAGGTCTAGAGTTCTAGGAGCCCTTCAATAACTTCCGTGATTCTTGTACGGTTTCTGGTATAAATTTAGGCTTAACAAAAGTAATACCAGGAAACAATACATGTTTCCATGGAGATGCCATTGCTGCACTTAAAACCACTCTTCAGAAACAAAAAGAGCTGGTGTTCAGCTAGCTCAGGCTTTGGGTTTGATGCATGGTCTCTGTTAGGAGGATGAAAGAAAAAAGCAAGAGGAGCTCGAGCGTCAGCGGAGAGAACGGCGCTACATCCTCCCTGACGAGCCCATCATCCTCGTTCACCCCAACTGGGCAGCCAAGAACGGCAAGTTTGACTGTAGCGTCATGTCTCTGAGCGTGCTGCTCGACTACAGGCTAGAGGACAACAAGGAGCACTCCTTTGAGGTGACGTTTCCCTTCCGGCGCTCATCACTTTAGGTCTATGTTGAGTGGATGATGACATTTGTGTCTCTGATGGAGGTTCTTCCTGTCCAGGTTTCCTTGTTTGCTGAGCTGTTCAACGAGATGCTGCAGAGAGACTTTGGCTACCGCATATACAAAGCCCTCGCCGCTCTTCCTGCAAAGGATGAGAAGAAGGAAAAGAAGGTAAAAAAGGAGGTGGAGAAAAAAGAACTGGAAAAACGTGAAATCAAAAAGGAGAAGGAGGAAGAGAGTGATGAGCCAGCTGCAAAAAAGACCAAAGAAGATGAAGAGGAGAAGAAGGTGAGCCTTTTGAGCCTCTTCTGTTAACTCATCTCAGTAAGAAGTCATGAGATAGTTTTGCTTTTTAAACAGTGTGATGAGAAAATGATCAAGAAGGAGGAGTCTAGAGACGAGGAGGACAACGAAGACGAGGGAAGCACAGCCAACGCTGAAGAATACGACCCCATGGAGGCTGAAGACGCAGATGATGACGACGACGATGGTACGACTCACTTTTGACTTAACAGATCAATTATTTTTTTTACCTTTTAAGTTAATTTATTCAGGAACATCTTTAAAAACTGTGAATTTTAATTAAAAAATTTTTTAAACGTCAGACAAGGACGAGGATGATTCCTACGACAGAGACAGGAAAGACCGCAGAGATGAGCGCAGGCCGTCTAAGGAACGATCCTCTAAGGACAAGGTCGTTGTTTAGGTGTCATAATCCAGTTTTATCGATGTTGTGGAAACGCGGCTGTTGATTTTAAAAATGAGTCGTTTTTGTTCCTCAGGAGAAAAAGCAGATGGTGACACACAACAAGGAGCTCCTCATGGCGTTTGTCTACTTTGATCAGAGCCACTGTGGCTATTTGCTGGAAAGAGACCTGGAGGAGATCCTGTACACACTGGGACTCCATCTTTCTCGTGCACAAGTAAGCGCGCACACACACACGCGCAGGTGTAAGGCTCTGGTCCTGTTCAGCGTGCTGATTAATGTGGACTATTTGTGCTTTTCAGATAAAGAAGCTTCTGAACAAACCGGTGGTCAGGGAGACTTGTTACTACCGAAAACTGACAGACAGAGGAAAGGACGATCCTGTCCCCTCCTCTAATGAAGCCGAGATAGAAAACCTCATAGGTGAGCTAAACTGGATGTTATTTTTAAAATATGTGTGTATGTCTATAAAACATCTGGTTTTATATGAGACTAAAGCAAACTATTGTTTCTGTGGGTTTTTTTGTTCTGACAGGTAACCGAGGGCTGATTCCTTCTTTCACTGCGCGGTCCCAGTCCGAGGCGAGCGGGTCCGGTAACCTGATCGTGTACAACGGCGCCATGGTTGATGTCGGCAGCATGATGCAGAAACTGGAGAAGAGCGAGAAAGCAAGGGAGGAGATAGAACAGAAGCTCATGCTGCAGGATGCCAAAAAAGGTAGAAATGAGATGAAATTCTAAATGTTGTCTTTCATCACCTGAATCTTCAGCACAGAAAGTCTCTGTGGGTCCTTCTTTCTTTGATTTCTTCTAAATATGGGTGAGAACATCTCTTCCAGGTGTTGCTTGTAGAGCGGAGGTGCCCAAAGTGCCATCAAAATGACTTTATATGGCCCTTGAGCGACTCCACTTGTGGTAGAAATACGTCAATACAGAAAAACATTTTAAACCTTTCTTATCTTCGGATTATGAAAAAACGAGATGAGTTCAAATCTTTTCAATTGGAAATTGCAGTTTAAGCCAAAATATTTGTATTTTGTTTACCAAATTTTTTTTGTCACTGTTGTTTATTATAAACACACACACACACACACACACACACACACACACACACACACACACACACACACACACACACACACACACACACACACACACACACACATGAACACAGTTTCTAAAACTTGAAAAAAGAAAAACTAGAATCCCAGAAGAAAGAGTTTTGAATCCTGTTCTTGTTGCTCATACTGGGCAAAAAAATGATTTTTGATTTATTTTTTGGTTGTAACATCTTTTTTAAAATGTTGCATCTGTAGACATTACAACATATGAGGTCTGTTTCCTCTTTGGGAACTTCCAGGTATTTTATCAGATCTTCGCGGTATGTCAGTCTCCATTTCAGGAACCAGTCGAGTAACTGAAATGGGTATGTACTCAGAAACGACCTGGTAGAGTCACTGGGCGGGACTTGTGCTTAAATTAACTCATGCTGATTGGTTGTAACTCAGTAGGAAATGACCGCAGACGTCGACAATCAGTATTTGGAAAATTGGAAGACTTGCTAGTGAAGCGGAACGGAGGGAAAAGAAAAGAAGTGAAGTGGATGCTGCTTTAAGCCTAGGGCACACTGGAGGCGGGCACGCCACGCCATCATTTTAAATAGAAGCCATTATAGTTGATGAGAACAGGCACACGGGGAGCACTGAGGCGCTGAAGATGGTCGCCAGTTCGATCTCAAGCGCAGCGGCTGTTTACAACATTGTGGAGTACTTAACATCAGACATTACGGCGCGGAACGGCTTTACGGCACAAACCCAGCTGCAGTTTTGATAACTTTAAAGTTCTATTGATCTTAAAATATTCTAATAAATAGCGTACTTACCCACTGTTAGTGAATTAGAGTCTCACAAAACACGAAGGCAAGTCTGATCACGTATAAACACTAGAGCCACTCCCCACTTCCTGTTCTCAAGTCCGGCGTGATGTTGTGACTTTCCAAGAAGCGCTCAGCGGCGTGACGTGTCCTGTGTGCCCACTGGACATCTCAAAACCATGGGTGTGGCGCGCCAGCCTCAGGTATGCCCTAGGTTTTAGAGTCGTGTTACTCACACACACACACACACACACACACACACACACACACACACACACACACACACACACACACACACACACACACACACACACCCACACACACACACACACACACACACACACACACACACACACACACACACACACACACACACACACAGCATTGTGCTAATTAACACTGCTTTCTTCTACAAAGTCCCTTTAAAAAAACAACAGCATTTCCCCTGGTTGTTGAATGCCACTCCTTATGTCACACTACCGTTGTCTTGAAGATCAGCTTCACTCATAGTTTACGACATTTGCAGTGGTCTCTAGAAGGAATGAACACCTTGTGAGTCGTACTCTGGGGAATAAAGCTCTGGTGCGCCTGTTTGAGGATGTAGAAGCCAGCTGGGGGAGAAAGTGGCAGAAGACGGCAGGATTTGGAGTCTTATTTCCTGATATTCAAACATCTCTCCTCTGATTGGTTAACAGCAATGTGACTCTACCGCTGACTCTGTTTGCTCTGCAACGTTTAAGTGTTTTTTCCATCCTCCCTGCGCATGTGTAATAGGGAGGTGAGGGGTAAGAAAAGGTTAAAGTGAGGCAGTTGGGGAGAAGAAATGTAAAGAGCCTTTTGTTGGTCTTTTTTTTTTACGGCGACCATTAAAGCGTGGATCGTAATCAACAGTGTTTTATCTCCACAAATAAAACAATAATGCTAACGGTTAGCTTGTACTAGTCGAGACTTTGTCTGCCGTTTCCTGGACGAGAAACCAATAATGGACTTCCCTGTTGTGAGTCAAAGTGGGTGAGTCCATAAATGTTACAGTGTGGCAGAGATTCAATCCTAGAGTTTCACCGTCTGTTTTCCATCAGAAGCTAATCCAGGAGATAGGCGTAGGAGACTATTATCATGTTCAGCCTGCATGTTAAACTCAGAGTGACTAACAAGTAAAAGTAGTTTCTCAGTGATCCTGCTCCTTTACACATCCCCTATATTGCATACTTTGATGTCTTTAACGTTATGAATGTCCGTGGACGCCTTTTGGCACTAATCATTGACGACACACTGATGAAACGGTCGTGAAATTCTGCCTTCTTAGCAAAGTTCTGAAAGAGTTGATTTTTGTACTAAGACATGACAAATGAGAGGACAGAGTCGCCGTATTACGCCAGTGCATTTGCCGTAGTTAAAACGCCGTCACACATACATAACAAAGCTTCCCTTCAAATGAGTGAAACTCTTCATGTTTATGGTTTTAGTTGTTTACTGTTGTGTTGTGACAGCTGCATAGACCGATTCTTTTAATCACCGGCACAGCTTTGCTCTTCTTTGTCTCCCAACAGAGGAAAATGCAAAGGTTAAACTTCAGTTGGAACAAGCCAACAACACCTTGTCCAGGGAGCTCGAGGAGGTGAGAGAAACCCTCCGCCAAACCGAGGAGACGCTCAGAGCCGCGGAGGAGAAGAAGACCCTCTACCATGAGCTGATACGCAAATCGGCCAACTCCTTAACGAGCACCGTCAAAGGGCTTATGGAGGTTCTGGATAAGGTACACGTCGTTTAAGAAAAGCTCTAAATGCTGTGTAATGTTTACACGGAGTACAGAGGTCAGCTCGATCATCGCTTTTGTTTTTCAGGACCAGGAAGTAGATGAATCTGCCGCTGGGGCTGCTGGAGACCACATTCAGACGAACGGCTCCGATAAATAACTTCTAATGTGACTCATCTGTAAAACTGATCCTAAATTGTAAATATTTGCTGAACGTGTCACTTGACGGTTTAATTTGAGCCTATGACATCTATAATTTAAATTCTTAATTTTAGTTGATTTCCGTTCTTGTTTACTTTTCTTACTGAGGGTAATTCTGACTGACGAGCACCCCCCCCCCCCCCCCCCCCCCCCGCCGCTTCAGCTTCATTACTCCCAGCAGAGCGCCACAGCGTAGAGATCTAAAAGCCAGTATGTGTGAGTGGTACTTAGGTTTTTCAGTTTTTTAAGGAGCAATAGCAAAGCTATTTATGTGCAAGAGGATTCATACAGAACTATATTTAAGGAGCTGCTTTTGGATGGAAATGGGTCCAGATAGGAAAATCCTTCAGATCGACTGATTTATGTGGGATTTATTTTTACACACGTGGCTATGCATGCTCCCTCCCTTCTCCCCTGATATCCCCCACCCTTTTCTGCACCTCCTGACCGTGTCCACCGGCTGACAGTGAGAGTGTCTCGTCTTCTGACTGTGATTTCCATTTGTCACGTTTTCTGAAGAAGAGCTCGACTCAAACCAAAAGCTAAACTAAATGAATGTGTGTTCAGTTGAAGGAAAGACCGCGCATGTGTGTGTGTGTGTGTGTGTTTTGTGTGTGTGTGTGTGTGTGTGTGTGTGTGTGTGTGTTGCTTTCGCTTGTTAATAAAAAAAAGAGGTACAATAACATTTGATGTCCTCCAAAGCAGGCGATTTTATTTTTCTATTGGAAATGTACTCTGTAGATGTTTTGTGTTAGAATAAATTGGTCCCTTTAACACTAAAATGTGTTTTCCTTTGGCTGAAAACATGAATGCTTTTATTTCAAAACAATCGTAAGTATTTTAGTTTGAAAATGTAGTCTGATTTAGTGTTTTAGTGCCTGGTGATGTTGCAGTTTATCACCAGTAGGTGGCAGCAGAGAGCTCAAATGAAACTGGGTTTCTTTCAAAAAAGTTAAACACAACTGTAATTGTTGACCCAAAATAAATAATAAACAGTTTTTTTAATTTGTTTGGAGAATAAAAAATTGAAAGTAGGTAAATATCCTGACAAGAGGGTAAAAACATTTGGTGGATTGTACTGATTAGATATTTTTTCACAGCAAAATCCAAATGATTAGAAACTCTGCTGAAGTTCAAGAGGAATTTATGCAGAAACAAAACGATCACTTTCTAAACAAAGCTGTTGGGAACAACCAGAGGTTCGACATAAGAGTTTCCCATCCTGAGCATTCCTCAGGAAGAGCTGCTTTGCTAAATCAAGCAGGAATCTCAGTGACACAGAGGATGAGATCCTCGAGGGGGGGGGGGAAAAAAGCAAAAGATCCCAAAAAATCTTCGGAAAGTTTTGTTTTAACTGAAAACGTGTTTTCATGGTGAAACAACAAGGCCTTGATGTCCTGCTGTATTGTTTTTGCATTTCTCTGCATTTATGGGGTTTCCTTTCCTTTATTCTACAGTCTAATAAATGCTTGTTGGTTATAAATTAGATTGAGGTGTGTGTGCATGGCCCACTGCTCACCCAGGGTGCATCCAGCCTCTGGCTGACAGCATCAAACAGCCTAACACTGCATCAAGCTTCACATCTTCATGAATCCTATTAGACTGTACTTTCATCTTTTTATTTCATGAAGCACTTTCGACTGGTGTTTTGGAGTAAAGCACATTTGCATGGGCTCATTAACATTCTTCCCCTCTAATATGATCCCTCCAGGTGGAGACATTAAGGGTGTGTCTGGATTTGTTTCAGATAAAGAAAATTAATGCTGCAAGTTGTCTGTGAGTGTGTGTTGGCACTGGGAGGATCCTGCCTCTCGGGTCCGTGCAGATCATTTACCTTTGAAGCTTTTGTTTCCTCGGATGTTGGGTGTGTGTGTGTGAGTGAAATGCTGTTTCCCAACAATAACCTTGTTCACACACACCACCTAATATGTATCAGACCTTTTTGGCTAACACTGTCCTCTATTATCTCCAGCTCTTATGTGGCTGGTTCATCAACAAACTTTGCTCCCCCCCCTCTCTCCCCCCAATTCCATTTAAATTAAGTTTGTTAATATAGCACCAAATCACAAGAGTCGTCTCAAGGCACTGCATGAAGTAAAACATTCTTATTGAGTTCAGTTCATTATGCCAGTCAGTTAAAAGTTTCCTATGTAAGGAAGCGCAACAGATGGCATTGAGTCACTCACTTGTGTGTCAGAGATTTTACAGCAATCCCCGCACTAAGCAAGCATGTAGCGACAGTGGAGAAGAAAACCCCAACAGAACCTGGCTCAGCATGAGCTTGCACACACACCTCTCTCTCAGCCTCCTGCAGCAGCTGTGTGTGATTTCGCGGGAGAGAAGTTGTGATGAGTGAAATCCGACCCCACTGAAAAGGACAGGGCAGGTAACCCCACTCCAAGCCTGCAACAGAAGGCCTTTGTTACCCACTTCATTTAAAAACAGGGGTTTCAGTGCTGCATCAGGGGCAGGCAGAACCTGAAAAGTAGGATTTTTTTTCCCCAGAAAACAATTCTTGATCTAGTTGTAAAGCTGGCTGTGGAGCGTGAGCCGGGTTAGGAAAGCAGATTTTAGTATAGACAATAAATGTCATTTTGTTTGTGTTGTCAGGAAAAATGTTCAGTTAACCAATGGAAGCTGGTTGTTTTCCCCTCACTGCCTGTTTTTCCCCTCATTGTCTCGCAGCATTGTGAAGCAAAGAATCGAATTTCCTGTGTGATGAATTGGGAGGAAAATAGTCCCCCGCAGGCGACGAATGCTCCAGCTTCCTTCACAAAGTCACAGGAATCTCTGAGACCACCGAAGTCAACAAACAAGTAACTGCCCTCTTACGTGCTGTTTGATATTTCAGGTAATTGATACCTGAGAGGTTCCATTCAGCTGCATTTCCTCAGCAACCTTCATGCACCCCAGCAAGGTGGGGGGGGGGATGGCTCTGTTCAGTTGGGGCTACCTTCGGAGCGAAGCGGCGTAGCTGTTGAGGAAATGATCCTTCTACATCAGCTTTCTGAGGGAATACTGGGTTACAGTAAGTACCATGGTGTGTTTCTGGGGCGTCTCCTGGTGGGAGGACGGGGCCGTTTCAGCCATGGCCCCCTCATCGTCGATCATCAACAACCTCAGGACCAAAGAAGGGGAAGATGGAGACTAAACATTGGATTACTGTCAGATTTATCTTTTAGAAAGGCAGTGGAGGAGGACTTGAAAGTATTTTTTGAAATCAATATTGATAGTAGTACTGCAGAAATAACCACAGTATGGGAGGCCTCAAAGGCATACATTAGAGGAAAATTTATAGCACATGCAGCTAGAAAGAAAAAAAGAGTATCAACAAGATTAAGGAATTAGAGGAGGAAATAAAAAGAAAAGAACTAGAACTGTCAAAAGGCTTCTCTGATAGTAAACTTCAGTAATTATGTAAACTTAAGTACTCCCTACACAGCATATATAACAAGAAAGCAGAATATGCTTTGTATAGGCTAAAAAGTTATTATGAAGGAGGGGAGAAAATGGGGAAATTGTTGGCTAGACAACTAAAAGAAAAAAATAATAGTAATGCCATCCCAGTTATAAAACGGGGGGATGAAGAAATTTACACAGCTAAAGGCATAAATAATATCTTCCAGCAAAATTACGAAAAATTGTACACATCTTTAATCTCGGTGGACAAGCCAAAAGAAAATATAGAACGGTTCCTTCTGAATGTAGGTCTGCCCAGGCTTAAAAGTCATGAAGCAGAGGGACTAGATTTGCCTATAACTGAGGCCGAAATTAGGAAGGCGATTGCCTCCATGAAAAATGGAAAGTCACCAGGTTATGACTGACTTCCTGTAGAGTACTATAAGACCTTTGCAGATATTGTTGCACCAATACTCCGTGAGGTATACCAGGAAATGTTTGATAAGGGCTGCGTAGCACCAACTTTTAACGAAGCGGTGATATCACTAATCCCCAAACCAGGTAAAGATCCAACTGACCCTTCAAGCTATAGACCCATTAGTTTGCTCAACCTTGGCTGCAAAATTCTCACAAAGATACAGGCGACACGTTTACAACGGGTATTACCAAATATCATACATCCTAATCAAGTTGGGTTTATGAAAAATAGAACATCGACAGACAATGTTAGACTCCTACTACATCTGATGTGGCTCAGTCAATCCCGAGATGTTCCTATTGCCGCTCTATCTTTGGACGCTGAAAAGGCGTTTGATAGGGTGGAGTGGCAATTTTTGCTCTCCACCCTATGGCATTTTGGTTTCACTGCTGATTTTATGAAACGGATTACAATGTTATATAAGGAACCTAAGGCTGCGGTGATGACAAATGGGAAAGTCTCCCCTTTCTTCAACCTGACTAGAGGGACTAGACAGGGATGCTCTCAGAGCCCCTTATTATTCATTATTTTCTTGGAGGTCCTAGCAGTGTCCATCAGAACGCACCAGGGAATAAAAGGAATAAGGGTAGGGGGCAATGAATATGAGTTACTGCTGTATGCGGATGACATTTTGGCAGTGTTATCGGAGCCCTAAAAGTCGCTACCACATTTAATGGATACTATACAATCTTTTTCTAAACTGTCTGGGTACTCCATTAACTGGAGGTAATGCCACTTTCTAAGCTATGCATTTCATCCAGAAACATTTAAATTTAAATGAAATATCTCGATATTAACCTCTCTGAGGATGTAGATGAGATAATAGCATTGAACTTCAACCCCCTGCTTCAAAGGCTAAAAACAAATCTTGATGAATGGTCAAAACTAAAAATGAGTCTGATGGGAAAAATTAATACTATAAAGATGATTGTTGCCCCACAAATTACATATGTTATAATGATGTTGCCAATTAAGATTCCATCTGCCATCTTTAGACAACTAGATGATGTAATTAAAAAAATTGTATGGAATGGGAAAAAAAACAAGACAGAAATTAAGAGAGGGTGCTCGCTGCAGAACTACAAAGGCGGAGCTGCACCATAAGGTGGAGCTGCACCAGAGTCAGCCCCGCCCATTCACGCAAACTCAGCCTAGCCCACTGACTTCCGTTTTTGTTTTCAACTTTATCGCAAACTAACCTGACTCTCATGAATTACGGCTGTTACTAGTTTACAGTCGTTAATGCTATGTTCTATGCTCCAATTAAACAAGATAAATATAACTTGCTACATGACAAAGTCTGAATATATCCCGAAATAAAAAGGTTTCTCTTAGCGAATAGCTGCCCACAGCCGCTCTAACAAAACTTCTGGACAACAGCATGTACCACCACCATGTGGTTTCTGGTAGTCCAGTGGCAAGATCGTCTAACCTTAAGTTTTGCTTTCCCCTCAGCTGATGCTGGTTCGATTCTTGGTGGGGTCGGCAACAATCTATTTAGCCAGCTGAAACATTTAATTTGTTCATATTTTAGTTGTAATGTTAATTTTTAGAAAAATATTTATGTCTCTTCAAGTTCTTTGAATTTGGTCGTTCCTAAACAGCATTTTAGTTGAAACTCTGCTCACAGATGGACTCACACTGGCTAAATAAACGAATGAATAAATAAAAAAACACATTAGTCATTATATGTTAAATGGCATACCAATAAATTGTTGTAAACATAGTACTGGCAAGTGTAGCTAAAAATGAGGAAAAGAGATTATAGAATATTTCCACTGCTGGGATGCAAACCTGCACAAAACTGCATGTCAACCTGACACCATCACCACTACACCACCACATTTGATAAAAACTTAGGTGGCGTTACATTTGATTATGCTATTCGGTGTGTCTTTGTAGATG